GTAGTCTTTTAAAACGTAGTGTGGATTCCCCGTCTAACATTAAAACTGTAACAGATGACTTAAAACCCTCGTGATGACCAGGCACACGGATGGGGAACTAAAAACTGTTTGGGGCAGGGATGTCCTGGATGCCAAGAGGCAGGCAGGACTGTCAGCCGACTGCCGCCCAGCTCGGCAGCAATGGCACTTCTCAACTCCCATGCCCTTGCTCTCTCTAAACTGTGGTAACATCAAGGACTGTTGGGTAAAACGCGTTAGGCCAAGATGCTGATCGCTCCCATCTGCATCCGCAACCCCACCTATTCCCAGGCTCCCGACATCTCCAACCAGACGGCTCCCAGGCCCCTCAGACTCACCTGCCTCCCTCAAGTGCTCCCCACCTACGCAAATGGCAGCAGCACCACCCACCCGGTGCTCACAACATCCAGGAATCCTCTTTCCCCTGCGGCTCACATTCAACCCGTCTCCACCTCAACACCATCAACTCTCTCCTGGACTCACGTCCCGCCTTCCTCCCCTGCCTCCCTCTCTTCAAATCCACACTCCCAGAATAACCTCCGAAAGGGCCGATCTGACCGTGTCATTCCCCTACTTAAAACCCTCCAGTGGCTTCGCACTGCACTTAGGAACAAAGTTCGAGCTCTTCGTCACCTCAGAGGACGCTCTGCAAGATCGGGCCCTGCCTGCCGCTCCAAACTCGCCCCTGGGCTCCCACCACGGAGGGCTCCTTTCTGTTCCCCGAAGGCGTCCGGCTCAGTGCGGCAGGGTCCTGGCACCTGCTGCTCCCTCTGCGCGGTCCTCTCACAACGGGCTCCTTAACCCAGACCTCAGCTCAAACACCAGCCCCCCTGGGAGCCCCCTTACCGAGCAGCCCATACTCCCCTCACCCTGCCCCTTCGCAGCCATCAGCACTGCCTGAAGCAAGCTCGGCTCCAGGCGGCGCTTCTCCCCGAAGTCACTCAAGCTCCCTGAGGGCACGAGCCTGCGGGGTTCACGCTAAGTCCTCGGGGCCCAGACCGCGCGGGCCCCCAGCACCTGCTAGACACAAGCCTGCCATCCGCTGCAGGAGTGACCCCCGGCGCCCGAAGACTTCACAGCCCTCGCCGCGCCCAGCGAGGTGCTGCGCCCCCAGGACGACGCGCCGAGCCCATCACCGGCCCCGCCGCCGCCCTCCCCGCCCGCGCCCCGGCCCCCCGACCGTAGGCGTAGATGCCGCGCAGCAGGTCCTCCCGCAGGCCCATGGTGTCGAACGTGGGCGTCACGTCCACCTCCTCGCTGGTCTCGAATTCCACTTTGGTCATGTCTTCCTCTTTGAGCAGCCGCTTCCGCGCCGAGCCCGAGGTCGCCATCGTGGCCGCGGCCGCCATGATCCCGAGTCCGCGGAGAGCGGAGCGCGCGCCGCAGCGGAAAGCGGAAGCAGGGCCCCGCGCGGCCGGCGCCAGGAACTGACGCCAGCGCGCGCGTGCGTACGGGCGTGCGTACGGGCGTGCGTACGGGCGTGCGTCGGGGGCCGCGAGCGCCTCTCCACGTGAAAGGGAGACCCGGCTGGATCGAGGGAGAGGGGCGGTGCCGCTGCCGCTCTCGCGCGATTTAAGCTCCCGCAGGATCTCGCCGGGGGCGGGGCACCGCCCAGCCCCTATAAATACGGCGGGGGCGCGCGGGGACGGGATTTGAGTGGGTTGCCCGGTCGTGGCGGCTTGCGTCTTTGCCGCGGGGCTGGCGCTCCCGGCGCTCCCGGCTGACGGCCGCCACCGAGCGAGGAGCCCCGTCCGCACCCTCATTCCGCCACGGTCCCCGGCTCGGGCGGAGGGCGCCCGCTCGCCGCGGGAAAGGCAGCGCTGGCGCCCGGTGGAAAACCTCACGCAGACGGTCTCCTTTTGGAAAGCCTTGCCCCAGCTCTGATGAGTGGGCCGGGCGTGAAGACCCTAGGGAAGAGAGGCCCTGCGCGGCCGAGTGTGTGAGGGGAGCGCCCCGGGCACGCCCCCCCCGGGCTGCGCTGCACCTGCGGCTCCCGGGCCCCCTGTGGGCGGGGGGCGCAGACACGCCTGCCCAGGAAGGGGGCCCGGGGGGCTTGGCTTTTCCCTGGGCACGGGACCCTAAACCTCGCCAAGCGCCCCTGATGGCGGGCTTCCCTGCTCGCCCCTGGCCCCGCGCCACCTCCTGACCTGGCTTCGTTCCGTGTTGAGGTCCAGAGTCGCGCTTTTAACTTCGGGAGGGTTACACTCGCTTGTTCACTGTTTGCTTGGCTCGCGTGACCGGGCACGTCTTGAATCCAGCACATCTTTGCAGGGGTGTTTGAACGCTCCCCTGTTGTGAAGGTTAACTTAGTTAGAAGTGCATAAATGTTTCATCCACTAAACCAGCCACATGCAGCGTGCAGTGGGTTGCAGTGTTGACAGCGAACAAGTCGATGGGGGCTGGCTTCTGCTGAAGCTCTCGCCCTAGGGCCGGAATATGTCCAAATGCTACAAGACGGTTGACCCGATAAACATGCCTAGTAAGAATGCTGGTATTCGTCAAATACTAAATGTTTCTAAAGCTGGCTTTCTTTCTTAGACTTTAAAATAAAATGTAAGTCGTTATGACCTCTTACTCCACAAAGGATTATCTGGGGCCCTCTCTGAGGTTGTACACATGTTTTGCAAGCTGTGCTCTCGGGCTGTGTTGTAAAATGCACACGGATTTCAAAACTAAGAAAAGAATGTAAAATATCTCGTGAATAACTTTACATTGACTGTCTGTTGAAATGACCGTATTTTAGATATACTGAGTCACACGAAATATGTGATTTCAATTAATTGCACCCGTTTTTAAAATACGGCTACTAGAATGTTTTAATTACACTGTATATGATATTCCTATGGGACAGCGCTGCTCTAGGTACTTAGCCTTGCCGAGAGTGAGGGAAAGAGTAAAGATTACTGACTTTACAAGTTGTGGTATCAATGAGGAGAGGAAAAAAATCCTTGCATTCCTACTGTGAACACGGTGATTGCCTCTCTGCACTTATTCAGAGATTTTTCATCTTACTCACCATCCACCGAGGCTTGTCTTTGGCCTTCACACTTTTACGCCATTTTCCTGGCAATGTTCTTTAGCCGTGTTTGAACACACATCTTAAAAGCCTCTTCCTTTTGTTTGGGGCCAATAACTTTTTGAGTTTGTAGGCCAGAGTCCGTGAAAAGGACACGAGCTTTGGGGATAGGGGGGTGGTTGTCGGTGCAGTCTCTCCTGAACAGTGCTCACCGGGAACAATGGGGAACAAGGCCGACTTGGTCTTTGTCCTTGAGGTTAATCTGATCCGATAGGATGACACCCTCCCCCAAAATACAGTTTGTGAAGTGAGGTGCAGGACACGGCAGGGGCTGCACCCGAATATAATAGGCAGGTTCCCCTTGGTGACCACAAGGCCTCTGGGAGGATAAAGAGGGTAAATCCACTCTAGGGAGCTCGGAGCTGGAAGCGGGTTCGATAGATCGCAGCAGAGCCGTGTTTTTATTATGTAGGACAGACGGCCCCTGGCGACTGCAGCTGGGAGAGAGTCCCTCTCTGGGGAGGCTTCCCTGCTCCAGTACTGCACCAGTTTTCACAGCCTATGCAACGCACACCGCAGGGTCAGTAGATCTGAAGCTGGTTTTGCCTTATCACCGGTAGGAAGTATGATCTAGTCAGTTGTGTATTGAGAACATGCTTTAGTTACTTGCTCTATTTGTGAAAATATTTGCCCCACGTAGCTATGTTGTGTTGGGCGTAACCATCTACGTACAACACAGGAATTGACAACCTAGCTTGGGGGTCAGTAACCAGTCCACTGCTTGAACATCCAGATTAATGTTTCCATTCCGTCAGAAACCTAAATTACAATTCCAGCTAGAAGGTGCAGACTAGAAATGGCCCCACTCTGAGTCCCCTAAAACATGGATTTAGAGGGCTTATCACCCCTGGGCACCCCTGGGCCCCTCATCCCAGGATTGGTCACCACAGGGGACCCACCCATTTCTGTTTGGGTGTAAAACTTCTCTGTCTCCTGCACCTCACTTCCCACACTTTTATATTTGGGGGAGGGAGTTACCTTACCTGATTAGACTAATCGCAGGGAGGGCAGGGTCCCATGTCTGTTTTTTCCCCATCACCGTCCAGCACATAGTAGGTGTGCCTGGATGTGTGGAGCAAGAGGGCAGGAGGAACGCAGGATGGATCTGGCTGTTTGGGAGATCCCCGAGCTCATCCCAGAGCAACGGGGAAGACAGGAACAGATCTGTGGGCTACACCCCAGGAGCCCACCTGCTTCTTTTCTCTGTTACCTGTGTTGGCCTCAGGGTGGAGACAAAGTGGCTGGTCTTGTCCAGGGGCAGAAGGAGGTTTGGGTGTAGTGCTGCTGGGCTGGGCTCCCATGAATCATCACCACAGGGGTTGATGCCCTGAATCCGAGGGGCTGTCCCCGAAGATGGACTTCCTGCCAGAGGTCCCTGCCCACCACCAGGTATTAGAGGGTAAACACTAGAGAGGCATGGACCTCTCTAGCCCCACCTAGTCAGGGGGACAGCTTACTAAGCTCCAGAACCCACTGGCCGGACCCGAGACTACACACTGCCGGTGTCCAGCATTTGGGCGGCAGGAGTACAAAAGCATCTTTCTGGTGCAGGCACTGTTCCAGGTGCTGGAAGGGGCAGTGGACAGGACAGACGCACTGCCTCGCAGAGCTTGTGTTCCGTAGGAGGGCAAGCCCTACAAATCACGTAAACCAGTTAGATAATTGCAGGTTTTAGAATTGCGTGATGCAAAACAAAACCAAAAAAAGCAAAGTGGAAGAGAGTTAGTGGGTCACTGATTTACCAGGTGACTGGAGGACGGTGCCCCGTACATTATTAAGAGAGGTGGCCATGGCAACACCCCAGGGAGGAGTGTTCCAGGAAGAAGGGACCATGAGTGTGAAGACTCCCGGACAGGCAGGGGATTGGTGCAATCAACAGACAGAGAGCCAAGGTGGTTGTGGCATCATGAACGTGGGCAAGTGTGGGGGTTGGAGAAGAGGAGAGCAAGGCCAGATCATAAAAGGTCTCACAGGATGTGAGTGGAGTTTAAATTCCTTCTGGTGGCCACAGGAGTCACTTCAGGGTGGTCTTTCTTTGGGAAGAGAGGAATGCGTTCTGATAAGCGGTTTAGAAAGATGACCTGGCTGAGGCAAGAGGTCCAGAGGCTGGCCCAAGGGGCCGCAGAGCCCTGCTGGACAGGTGGTGGCGGCTGCCAGAGCCGGAGCAGTGGAGATGGGGAGAGGAGGACTGGGGAGAGGTTGGGGTGATGTATGGGGCGGGCAGGGGCTGTCAAGGCTCAAGAGGACTAAGATGGACTCCTGGGTTTCTGGTGTGAGCATTCTGAGTGGCCGCAGAGAGATGGGGAGGCCATAGGACAGCAGTGGAGGGTTGCCTGGGGGCAAAGTTAATAGATCAATAGACCCCAGGAGTACAGGTGTGCCCCGGTTTATGGCAGCACGACTCACGATCGCCAGAAGGTGGGAACAGCCCAGTGTCCGTGGAGGGATGAGTGGATAAACACAACGTGGTCCATCCACACAACGGGTGGAATCATTCAGCCACTATGCTGAGCGAAAGAAGCCAGATGCAAAAGTTCACATGTGTATGATTCTATGAAATATCCAGAAGAGGCAAATTCGTAGAGACAAGAAGTAGATTAGTGGTTCCGGGAGATGGGGGGAGGAGCTGCTCAATGGGCCTATATAGGGCTTCATTTTGGGGACAAAAATGTGCTGTAATTAGAGGTGACGTTTGCACAGCACTGTGAATGAGCTAAATGCCACAGAATGGTTCACTTTAAAATGGCTAATCTTAGGGGCACCTGGCTGGCTCGGTCGGTAGAGCGTGCGGCTGTTGATCTCAAGGTTATGAGTTCGGGCCCCACGCTGGGCATGAAGCCTACTCAAAACAATAAATAAATAATAAAAGAAAATGGTCAATGTCCTATTGTGTGAATTTCACCTGATTTAGCTGGGTTAGATCTGAGACGCCTAGACAGGCAAGTGGGGTTGACAGGCCGGTGGTTGCGTGTATGAGTATGAAAACCAACAGAGAATGACCGGTTTTACCTGCTCCTGGGGGAATGGCTGCTTCCTTCCCTCCTCAACCCACTCTCGGCGTTGGCGCGGGCCAGAGGTGGGTGTGGGGTCCACGCTGCCCGGTCTGTACACCAGAGGCCAGCCTCCCAGCCCCTCCCAGCCCCGCCCCGGGGACACGCACTCAGTCTTCTCCAGCATGGGGTTGAGAACCCGCCTAGAGATTCTGGAATTCTCCCCAGCATTCGTCAGAAGAGCGAAGAAGCATAGTTCCCATTTATGGTAGGTCAGCCTCCACCCGGAACCTGGCCCTGCAGGGCAGTGGGGCCAGTCGCCCCTGTCCTCCACCTGCACTCCAGTTCTCTGGACCTTCACGTGCCTGGCACGGCATCTCCACCTGCTGCCAGCATCCTGATTGCAAGGCAAGCCCAGAAGCCCCCCACTCAAGCTCCCTACATTTTATGGATAAAGTGTCACCCACAGGGGCTCTGTGGCTGGCCCCGGGCAGCTCACAGTGACTACTGACCGCTGCTATGGGATGTGGTCACTAGGTGGTGCTGTCCCCATGCCACAGGGGCCCCCCACCCCACCCCTTGCGAGTTCCTCCAGAAGACACTCTTTCAACCAAGCCAAGGTCACCAGAAATACCGCTTTCTTGACCTTGGAAGTGTGGGAAAATCATCAGTCGGGGTCCGCCTGACGATGCCGTGGTGACTAAGAAATGGTTTTCGCCCTCCTGTGCTCATGGCCCTTTGGGAACTGGGGGCTTCCTCAACTCTGTCCCTACAGCTCTTGGTATTTCTGTTCCTTACTGCAGAGCCACCTTCAGCACCCGCCATTGGCCTCCTCTTTGACTTAGGATGATGGCATTTCCTTGAGTTTTTTATAACTATCTAGAACTTTCCATGCACCAGGCACGGTGAGAAGTGCTTTCCCACCCTGATACAGGTGTGCCACTATTAACCAGAGAGGAAAGAAAGCCAAGCCTCAGGAGTTTAAATATCCTGCCTCGGAGGACAGCTGGAGGGCGGCAGCTCCACGACTCTGGGCTGAGAGCCCGCGTCCGAGTCTGACCTCCGATCTGTGCTCTCACCTGCTCCTCCCAGGCAGCCACAGCCTCGTCCTTCTCACCAGGAGGAGGTTTGGGTTCTGGTTGCTGTTCTGCCATCAACTAGCTGTGTGACCTTGGGAACTGACCTTGTCTGCTGGGATGATAATCCTTAAGGTCCTTCCTGCTCAGCCCAGGGAGCCATGAATTTCTCTTTTTTCTTGACTAGTCTTTGCCTCAGTGGGAACCAGGCACCCGACCAATGTTTATGCATTCACCCAACCCATGTGTATGGAGCATCACTGTTCGGGGGGTGGGGATGCAGCAGAGAACAGGAGAGACAAGAATACTTTTCCTCTGGAGGCTACGGGCTCATAGTGGGGAGGCAGGCAAGAAACCAACAAGTAAGTGGAACATACCGTGTATTAAGAAGCAATGATTCCGACAGACACAAATGAAGCAGGGTAAAGGGGAGGGAGGACGAGGGTGGGGAGTCCATGATTTTAAGTAGAATGGGAAGATGGCTCTTGAATGGAGTCCTGAAGGAGGAGGGAAAGAAAAGAGCATTTTAGGCAGAAGGAACCACAAGTGTAAAGGCCCTGGGGCTGGAGGGTGCCTGGAGCTTTCAAAGACTTTCAAGTAGCACTTGTGTATGGAGCAGGTAAATGGATATGAGAGCAGCAAATACGAGATAAGCAGGGCCCTGTGGGTCACGGTGAGGACGCAAGGACTTGTAGACAGAAGGCAACGACGTCCGTGGCTCATCCTCGAACGCTCTGCAGGCAGAAGAATTGGCAAGGGGGGCATTGGCAGCAGGCAGCTGGGAGGTCGTTGCAGATGTCAGGGCACAGTGGTGCAAGTGGTGAGAAGTGACCAGATTCTCAATCTACCCTGACATAGAACAGCCAAGACTTTTGTCTCACCCCAAATAGCGGTCATCAAATGTTGACTTTGGGCAGATCCGTTGGAATTACTTAGATGCTTCCCACAACGGATCCTGAGAACCGAAGAGGAGCTCCAGATTTATCCTGACCTTCCTAGGATTTTTCTGAGGGGTTTACACTCCCAGAGGAGAGAAGGTTCCCTGCACCCCAAGATTCTCCATCATCCTCTGGATCACCGCCACCTGCGGCTTCCTAGGGTTCATACAAAAGCAAAACAAACTTTTTGCACGTGTCCTCCCCGCTGTGAGAACGGATTGGCCCCTGAGGGATACGTGGAGACCCAATGTAAGGCACGGAAGGACGGACCTGTCAGACCTGCTCATCTGCTGCTCAGCCGAGTCTCAGGTCAGCCATCGCTTCTCCGCGACAAGGAAGGCTAGGGCATGGAGTCCGTCCCAGGGAGAGCAGGTCAGCACAGCAGGGGAGGGAGGGAGGCCGGTCCGAGAGCTGTCCTCGGGGGAATGAGGGGCTCCTGCCTCATAAGGAGTGCAGGTGACTGCTTTGCAGACCAGAGGAGGAAGCAGCTCATCCCATTTGGCTTGGCTAAATGACTTCAACGTCCTCTGGCTGCCGAGTGCCCCCTCGGCAGCACGGGCCGCGATGGATGAAAGAAAGCTCTGATTTGTGCTCTTATCTCTACACTGTAGAGATGAGTGAAGGGGAAGGAGGGTTTCACCACTCTACTGGTGGTCAGGACACAGCCAGACATTTCCAATGGAGCGCTGGTGTGGGCTCTTAGCTGAGGGGTGCAAGAAAGCACCTCTCTCTTCGTTTGGTGACCGTCTGCCTCACCCGACGTGTTTATAGGTTTATACCGATTTTTCTAAGCTCTCCCTTATGCATCCCCTCCCATTCTGGAGTCCTGTGCGTGTATGTGTGCGTGTGGGCACGTGTGTGTGTGTGTGTGTGTGTGCGTGTGCTCATGCATGTATGTGCTTCTCCTTCCCTCCGTCACAGGCAAGGGAAGACTGAGCCCTTAGCTATGAGGAGGCACGGGAAGGTCCAGCAGGAGGACCCCCATCTCAGATGCTCAAGGTTCCTATGACCTTGGGTTCTCTCTGGAATTGCTGCAAGGTTAGAGGAGACTTTTAGAGTTTAAAATATGCTGGCAGATCTCTGGGGTAAATTTTCTTTACTGTTAGGACTAACCCCAGTTTAAATTGGAACTGAGTTGCAAAGAAACTCCTACGTGTTTTATGGCCATTTGGGGTTTGATTAGAAGCTGCTTCAGTGCAGGAAGAATGGTCTGAGGTGGCTGCTACTCAGCTACACTCACTTATACCTGACCCCAGTGTGGCCCAGGGGTCCCAGGAGCAGGAACAGTTAGTTGGGGTTTAGACGGTCCCCGGGAGACCTCTGTCTTCAGCTGCCCTGGGGAGGGAGCATGTAGCTTGAGCTGGCCTGATTCTCTGTGTTCACTCTGATGGGAGCAGGAGTCTATGAAAAGTCAGGTGCCATCAGACCTTCCATGGGAGTCCTGCGGAGTCCGGGGCCAGATCTGAAATGAAATGGACCCAGGGCTCACCACGCAGCGAGGAGTACAGACTGGGGTCCCTACTTTTTTCCGCCCCCAGGATGGTCCCCCCACCTCTGCTGAGCTTTCTCAGCCCACCAAGGTGCTCCCAACAGAAGATCTTGGATTTTACGTTGGTCAGCGTCAACACCCCCTGCCCCCGAGCTGCTGTTCAGGTACTTTGAGGGTGAGCTGCTCCATGATCTGCACCTAGACAGACCGAGCGCTTGTGACCCCAGCCAGAGTCTGCCCAGGCCCGCTGCAGTGGGGCCCCTTCGGAGACCTGCCCGTCTTCAATCCGCACCCCCTGCCGGCCAAAAGGTAGTGGCCTTTATTACTTACTTGGAGTCCTTGGTTTTCGTTTGGAATTGTTTTCTAGTACGCTTTTGCAAAGTGTCATTCCCTAGCACATGTCCTGAGTGTCTCAGGACAAGTGTCCTGGGGCCACGCCAAATAAAAGCAGTGTGCTTTCTGTGCAAACACCCCTCTCCCGAGCCCTGCTTCCCACCTGTTCCCCCCACCCCCTCACCGTGGCCTGCGGGCGCCTCCTCTGGTTGCTGGGGGGCTGGATGGGCCGTCCAAACCTTCCCACTTATTCCAGGCAGTGTCCCTCCACCTTCTGCCGTCCTCATCCCTTAAGAGCCCTGTTAGACATTTCCTCCCTCCCTGTGCTCCTGCAGGATAGTAATATCACAGGTGGACTGAATGTCTGTTTATGCACAGCTGCGCTTTGTACATATAAGGGTAAGAATTTTTACTCAAGAACCAATTCGCCCATAGTTTGGGATCCAGGTGTGGGCAGGGCTGCACTCCCTGGAAGGCTGTAGGGACACACCCTTCCCTGTGTCTTCCTGGTGGCCCCAGGCGGTCCTCGGCTTGTGGCCACACCCCTCCAGGGTCCGCCTCTGTCCTCGAGTGGTCTTCCCTGTGTCTCCTCTTCTGTGTCTTACGAGTGCACTTGTCATTGGATTCAGTGGGTTCAGGGCCCCCCTGGATAACCCAGGATGATCTCATCTTGAGATCCTTACCGTAATTCCATCTGCAGAGACCCTTGTTCCGGATAAGCTGCCGCTGACAGGTTCCAGGTGGAGGTACCCTTGGGGGGCCACTCCAGATGTCTTTGGAGCCGATCTGACAGTCTGACTAGCTATGTTTAGTCACTGAAAACCAGGGAAGTTAATAGCTTCACGCTGTCAGATTATTAGGAGATCGGATGAGACAGTTTGTAAGATACTCATCTCCAAGCCCGGGCCAGAGGAAGCAGGCAGTAAGTGGTCGCTATTAACATGATTCTATTTCCACCTGTTCCTTATGAACCTCAGATATAGGAGAAAGGAATCCAAGCCACTAAGCCAGGCTGAGAGCCATGGGATCAGGATGGCGGGCTCCCTGGGACTCGGGCCCTGGGGCGTTGCCCTTTGCTTCTTTCATCCCACAAGCTTTGTACACAGTGTCTGCACTTGTCCACCAACACACCTGGGAGGTCTTGCGAGCAAAGGTCATCTTCCTGAGTCTTGTATGGCCAGCTCTTAGCGCTTGGGTTAGAGTAGTCGCTCAAGGAAGGTCAGCCTGGCCCTTCGGGAGACCAGCTGCAGACACGTCAATTAAAGGACCCACAAGGGCAGTGAGGGCACCTGCGCCCAGGGATTCTGGAAAACTGCTTTCACCTCCTGATCCCTAGATGTGCAAGGATTTCCTCCACCTCCCCACCGTGCTTCCCAAGGCAAGCCCACCCAGAGCCTTGTGAGCTGACACCGTTCTCTCCCCCAAGGGCACTTGCTGGATTTGCTGAAGGCTCCAGGGAAGAATGGGGCCATTGCCTTCCTGGAGAGCCTGAAGTTCCATAACCCTGACATCTACACCCTGGTCACGGGGCTGCAGCCCAAGATGGACTTCAGCAACTTCAGTGGTGAGGGCTGGGTCTTGGGGGGTGGGGGTGGGCGTGCCTTCTTTGGAGCGTCTGGGTCCTAGTGCCTGCATGCTCTTCCAGATGCTTCTCCTGAACCCCCCCAGCACTCTGGGGGTGAGGAGACCCCCACTAATCATGTGCAGGTATAGAAGAAGGAACCCGTGGCCTCTGGTTCTAAAAGAAAAGATCTTGGGGTACCTGGGTGGCTCAGTGGGTTAGGCATCTGCCCTCAGCTCGGGTCATGATCTCAGGGTCCTGGGATCGAGTCCCGCTTCGGGCTCCCTGCTCAGCGGGGAGTCTGCTTCTCCCTCTCCCGCCTGCCCTCTCTCTCAAATAAAATAAATAAAATCTTAAAAAAAAAAAAAGAAAAGAAAAGATCTGTCCCTAACTATGCAGTACCAACAGGAGACTCCTCTTGGGGCACAGAATCTACATTTGAGAGGTGTAGGGAGAGGGCATGTATGTCCTTTCCCTAGAAATGCTCCTGAGGTGGCCCTAGCCTTGGCTTACGTGGAAAGGGCAACCGGGTCCTGGGGCAGCTTCTGCTGGGAGAGGCCCCTGCCGGGAAGGAGGAAGAGAGGAGCGGGCAGCCTTCTGCACCTTCACTCAGCCAGAGAACGAAAGATCTAGCCTACCTGATGGGAAATAAGGCCATTTTCATTAATTGAGTGATTTTAGGCTTCCCTGGAGGAGCTGTTGAAAGATTTTGGGGTACAAAGGGCAGGACTAACATCACTCAAAATGGATGAGAAAACTTTTCTGCCTGTTTGGCGTCACAGTCCATGGTTACGTTAGCTAGAGTGCTGCTATATGGATTCATGTTCCTTGTTATGTTACTCTTAGGATGACATGGAGGTGAGTTGGCATCGAACACACCTTAGCTAATGAGGGGGAGCTGGGTCTGCACAGCAGGCTCCCACGGGGAAGCTACGGGGGATAATCCTCGTTCCAAAATCACCAGTCATGCTATTTATATAACCAAATATTGAGTCCGGTTGAGCCCGGAAGTTTTTAAGGAGACCCACAGATTAGGGTGGGGGCTCCTGCTTAAGACTCTGGGCAGAGGAAGCAAAGCCCCTGGGGGACAAGGAGGGAGGGCGAGGTGGCCCACCCGCCCCTCCTCCGCAGGGCTCATGGAGACGTCCAAGCTGACAGAGTGCCTGGCCGGGGCCATCAGCAGCCTGCAGGAGGAGCTGAGCCAGGAGAAGGGGCAGAAGGAGGCCTTGCTATGGCGCTGTCAGAAGCTGCCGGAGCGCCTGAGCCAGGCTGAGGCCCGCGCCCAGAGCCTGGGCCAGATGGAGGCCAACCACGACCGCATGAAGCGCGAGGTCAGTGCCCACTTCCACAAGGTGCTGAAGCTCAAGGACGAGATGCTCAATCTGTCCCTACGCTACAGCAACGCGCTGCAGGAGAGGGAGCTGGCCACCACGCGCTGCCGCAGCCTGCAGGAGGAGGTACGCGGGATGGCCCCCCAGCCCCCCGCCCGGGGCCCCTCCGGTGCTGGCCTGTGCAGCCATGAGCTGCCCTGCCTGGAATACCCTGGGGACTGGCTGGCCCGGGAGGTGCCCTCAGTGGGTGGGGAGGCCCGCCCTGGGCCCCGCCGCCGTGGACACACCTGGGATCCACCTCGCTCCAGCGCTGTTGGTAACCCGGGGCCCGTGGGCCTCTGCCCGCCCCTCCTGTATCGTTCTCAGCGGGGCCTGGGTCTGTGCAATAGGCCAGAGTGTCATCAGTGAGGCCGTCAGACCCCCAAAACACCTTTACTCATTTTTCTGCTGGGAGCCATTATCTTCTGATTGATTTGTAGCAGTTCTTTAAATACTGAGGACATTCCTTATCATCTTGGCATCTGTTGGTTGCCTTTAACTGTGGCTAGGTGTGTTTGTTTTTAGTTTTTACATCTTAACTATATTTAGAAATCATTTCAAATTTATAAAAAAATACAAATAAAAATATCTATCGTCAACCCTTGAACTGCACGAACCCACTTAAACCCAGATATTTTTTCCATAAATGCAGCACTGTAACTGTAATTTCTCTTCCTTATGATTTTCTTTCTTTTTTTTAAAGATTTTATTTATTTATTTGACAGTGAGACACAGTGAGAGAGGGAACACAAGCAGGGGGAGTGGGAGAGAGAGAAGCAGGCCTCCCGCCGAGCAGGGAGCCCGATGCGGGGCTCGATCCCAGGACTCTGGGATCATGACCTGAGCCAAAGGCAGACGCTTAACGACTGAGCCACCCAGGTGCCCCTTCCTTATGATTTTCTTAAGGACCTTCTCTTTGCCCTAGCTCGCTTTATGGTAAGAATACGGTGTATAATACATATAACACAGAGAATGTGTTAATTGGCTATTCATGGGATCAGTGAGGCTTCCAACTAACAGAAGGTTCTTAGGAGTTAAGTCTCGGGAGGGAGGTTCAAAAGTTATACGTGGGTTTTCTTTTCTTTCTTTCTTTCTTTTTTTTTTTTTGAGAGGCAGAGAGAGGATGGGGAAGGGTTGAGGGAGAGAGAGAATCTCAAGCAGGCTCTATGCCAGTCATGAAGCCTGATGTGGGGCTCAATCTCACAACCCTGAGATCATGACCTGAGCTGAAATCAAGAGTCGGAAGCTTAACCGACTGAGCCACCCAGGTGCCCCACAGCATGGATATTTTTTAAGAATACAAGGCCCCCCTCTTTTCTGTAATAGACCACTCCCCATTTTGGGTTTGTCTCACGTCTCCTCGTAAGGAGATGGGGGGTTATGCCCTTTTGGCAGGACCCTGCACAGACAGGGACCCTGGGCCTGGTTCCAGTGGCCCCACCATGGCGCCAGGCCCAGCGCCCCTTGCAGCGGATGTTCGTATCGCTCACCTGGCTCAGCTGCTGCCTGCTTCCTCTGCTTTCATTCTCTGTTCCTGAGAAGCAGTCTGGGGGGTGGGCAGCTATGGAACCAGCAAACACCCTGTGGCTCGTGGACATTCCCCCCCTAGACAGCCTCACTGGGGATTTTTGCCTGGACTCATCTTTACTCTGGTGGCTGCTAGATGAGGAGCCCCCATCTCCAGTGACTGCTCTGGTCCACCTGTTGGCCCTCAACATCCTGCCCATGAGGGGGAGCCTTTAATCCCCCCAGCTCGTGCATCTGTTGTTGGCTCAGGGACGTGGGTTCCCATTTCCAATGGCATGTAACATATTACTGTCCTGAATGGGTTTGCACAGATTGTCCCAGATTTGGCCAGGGGGAGCCCCTTGAATCTCCTCAGCGTCCTGTGGCATGACCTCTCATTTTCTGAGCACAGACTCCCTTGCTGGTATTGCAAGAGTTCCTGGGATCGTCTCGTCCCCACCCTGCCCCAGCTCTGGGCTCAGCCATTTCCCTGAAGGGCCCTGGATTCTTGCAGAGACCAAGATCGGGGCTCTAGGGGTGCTCACTGCTCCCAGGATCTCTTTGCTCCTTGGCCCTTTCAACAGACAGACCTAGGAAACGTGCACGTAAATATATACGTACACAGACACGTACAGATATGCATTCGCATTATGCATGCAAGAATGCATGTCCACAGACATACTTGTATTTTAGAAACTGTGAGGTCACACCCACACCTCTAATTCCGGTCAATCCTCAGGGCGTGTCCTTACCTCCCCCATTCGATCCTCTGGTGCCCCTTCTTCTGCGGTGAGAATCCTCCCACCCACACCAGCGCTCACTTGCTCAATCCTATAGGGCATAGCAAATACTTTCACAATAGCTGTGCCCACACCAGCCCAGTGAACAAAGCCGCTGAGCAGAGCTGAGGGCTTGCAGGTCACGGGCTCCTGTGGCTGCCCGGCTCTCAGTCCCTCTCCCTCCCATCGCTGTGGCTACAGTGTTTGAAATATAATTAGGTTCATTTGCTTAGGTTTATTTTCAGTTTTAGGTCCCCCCACCCCCCGTTCAGGTCTTAATGATTTAATTTTACTTTTTGAATATATGGAGTATAACATGTCCAACCCAGGTGACCCGTAGCAGGAACTGTGTAATTGCTTATGGAAAATTTGCTATGGAGATGTCGGGAGGGAAAAAGTCCAAGTGGGAAGGTTCTTCCTTCTCCTCTTGACCCCAGAGTGAGTGCTGACTCCACCCTGACATCCAGACTTCCTGGGTTGCCTCTTGGGGAATGTCCCTCCCCCCACCCGGGGGCGCCACACCCGCCTGGGGTGCTTCCCCAGGTCTGAGTTTCTCTTGGGGCACTATCCTGCAGGGTGGAGGCCAGCAGGACCTGGCCAGGTAGCTTCCAGAGGACCACAGCCCTGGACACGCAACCCGCTGGGCGGGGGGGGGGGGGGGGGGGGGGGCACATATCTGCATGCGGATTGCAAGTGCATCCGCGTAGACCAGGCATCTCTGCTCCCCATCTGACTTGATTTCCCCTTTCTTCTCACTTACTGATTTTCATGAATCCCGATTCCCTTTATGCAATGTATCTAGCAGAATATGGAAAGGCAGGGAAGCCAGGGCGCATGCTGAAGGACTCGCTCACTGGCCACTCACCACCCACCAGCTGCTGGGGTCCCAGAGTTTCTAGAGAGGGTCTGAGAACTGATTTCCCGGGCTCCTTCCTCTGTTCCCTGGGCCCCACCCCAGTGATTTAATGGCTCGCCTCATCTAAAAAATAAAGCTAGAAATGCCTTTCTCCTCCCCAGGAACTGGAACTATTTACTAGGTAAAACTCTTTAATGGATTTTGAAATCTCGGGGGAGGGGCCCCTCTAAGGATGAAAAGCATCCTCCCGGAGGAGAAAGGTGAGGGAAGCAGGGGCCCCTGGGCTAGTGGAGAACCAGCCCTGACTCGGCCCTTCCTCTCGGCCTCCTCCTGGCAGCTGTACCTGATGAAGCAAGAGTTGCAGCACCAGAAGATGTCTTCCTCCCGTGAGCAGGAATTGCGAGAGCGGTCCCTGCAGATTGCCGGTGGCCTGGAGCCCGGGGACAAGGAGCTGAGCCACCTGAAGGAGGAGATTGAGAAACTCCGATCACTGACCTTCAGCCTGGTGGGTCTGGCTCCCGTCCCCAGCAGCTGCCCGGGGCTCCCGCAGGCTGGGGGGGTTCTCACAGGTGGTCCTCAGAGGGGTGGCTGAGGACCGGGAGCCCATCCAGGGGCACCTTACGTTTCCCTTCCTGCTCCTCGCTGGCCCCCACGCGTGGCAGGATGGACAGCTACTGGACGTGCCGAGCAAGGCCCCCCTCAGCTCAGCAGCTGCTGTGGTGCTGGTTTAGAGGGAATTAGGCTGATTATAAATGACGGGATTCAAGGTTGGGGGGGGTACTTTTTTGCCTGCAGAATATTCTGCCGTCCTGCCCAGGAGCGCTCTGGAAGGAAGCCGCAAAACGGGTGATGCCAACGTCTGGAATTATGCGAACTTCTGCCCCTCCTCATCGATTCCTTTCAATCAATAAAATGTCTATTTATAGAGCTGTTCCTCCCAATGAGTAGACATTCCCTGGGTGCAGGGCGGGCCGCCACGGCCGGTCTCCCGCCTGGATGGTGCCACCATTCCGAAGCCCCTTCCTGAGCAGTGGGCCAGAGAGGGAATGGTGTATCCTCCGTCAGAGACTGTGCTGGTGGATTTGTGGACAGAGCGGCCTGACCTGGCCCACAAGGGGGGATGGCCACCCCGAGAGACATTCGGTTTCCTTTACTTTCTATCCTTGAGCCCAGAGAAATAGAAGGGAAATGCACGTTTCCCATTTTGATTGTTGACCCTGCCTCTTCTCCTGCCTAGTGTGCAGGGATAAGGTTGAATCCATCCACACGCCCAGCCCCGAAATTTCCTGCTGCCTGTTCTCGGGGCAGAACGACGGGGAGCTTCCCAGGGGCAGGCCTTTCAGGAGGTTGGGGTCCCGGGGCTGACCTCTCTTTGCCCCAGGCGGAGAATGACATCCTGGAGCAGAACCTGGACGAGGCCCTGGAGAGCAAGCAGGGGCTGGTGGACCGCATCCACTCTCTGAGGGAGCAGGCTGTGGCCGCCGAGAGGCAGCGCAAGCAGGTGACCCCAGCAGGGCAGCACGGGCAGGGAAGACAGGCTCTCGCAAACGCTCATCCCTCGTGGAAGCTTGATGGAGCACGGACTCATGGCCCACGGCTAGCGGTCCCGTCTGGTTTGTGGGTGGTCAGAAAAGGATCAGACACACAAGCAACAAAACTCAGGGTGCTTTCCAGTGTGGGGGGGTGAGGTTTATTTAGTTGCTACGACAGGCAAGGGGAGGATTGGGAGGAAGGGGACAGTGGGAGAGAATGAGGCAGCGTGGAGGGAGATTATTTACGTCTTTTGGGACATGGAGTGAACAAAACGTAGTTATACCTGCAACATCCACGTGTGTTCTGATAACTGAAAGCAAATATAATCAGCATAGCAACTCCGTAGACACACCTTGAAATTTAGCACTTAAGAAACGAGCAGGAGGTCACCGATTTCACCTTCTGAACCGCCCCCTCTGTCCCCGAGGCCCCCCCTGGCCCGCCCCATCCTCCGCCAACCCCCAGCACCGCTGGCCTGCATGGGCTATGTTTGTCCCCGACCAGTACTGGGAAGAGAAGGAGCAGACCCTGCTCCAGTTCCAGAGGACGAAGGTAGACTGTGACCTCTACAAGGAGAAGGTGAACGCCCTGCAGAGCCAACTGCTGCAGCTACAGAAGGAGCGCGACCAGGTATCTTGGCGGGGAAGGGCCCCGGGCCCCCGGCTGAGCGGTGGCAGAATGTGTTGCCTGGCCGAGGCTCCTCGAGAAGACTTCGGGGTTTAACCCCGGGCTGGCTGGGGTCACGCGGCTCCCTGCACCACCCGATGGCAGTTGGTTCCAGATTCCCGTCTCTCTCCCCCGGCCGTCCCCTACCGACACGCTCCCCCGTGCCATCCTCCCTCCTTTCCTGTCTGGCTCCCAGGCCTACTCTGCCAGGTCGCAGCCCAGATGGAGATTTCTCAGAAGCTGACGGAGAAGGACGCCTTCCGCAGGAAAGTATTTGAGCTGACAGACCAGGTCTGCAAACTGCGCCAACAGCTCCGCAGGCCGAAGGCCGAGTCCCCGCAGGGGGTGAGTGCTTCCCTCCCACCCTGCAGGGAGGCCGGTGGCTGTGTGCGCCCGTGGGACGGGTCCCAGGCCACGCACCGCCCCGGCTGGGACATCGGGTTCAGCCGTATCTGCCGCACGCTGGCTCTCGTGGGTGAACCTTGTTGCCAAGTCATTGAAGCAAGTTGAGTCTGTGTCTGTATCTCCTTTGATGGTAATCATATGCAAGTCATGGAAGAGGTAGCTGGATGGAAGGTTCTGGCACCTGTCACGTACGGTGTTCGATGAAGAAAGAAAGCATATGAAACTGGGCCAGGCAGCCACTCGCTTTTGTAGATGATGCATTCCTGAGATGTTTGCAAGTCCGATGTCCAAGAGCCGACTTCCATGCATGAAGGGAACTATGTTCCCGAAGAGCTAAAATGATTATAAGACCTCCAATTATGGTCCATCCGCAACTCCAGCTCCAGGCACCTGGTGGGTGGGTGAGACCCTTCAGAGGCGCCCGGGACCTCGGTGAGGCCTAGGCAGACCCTCTTCTTCCTAGGCGGAGCCCCCAGCCCTTCCTCCTTCAACCTCCTCACATCCACCACGTTCCAAAAATATATATATACGTATTTAAGAAAGGTAGACCTCAAGATGCCAACTTTCCTGTCCCTGAGTGTGGAGGATGGGAGAACCTTGCTTTCTTTACTCAGTTCTGTTTGCTCCCAGTATTCTATATGGAGTTAGGAATATAATACACATAGCATGTTACTTGTGTAACCGGTAAGGAACAACATGTAATCTCTAAAAGAGATGAAATAGCATTCACCAGGCTGGTTCCTTTCCGTCTCCTTGGGGGTCGGCTCCTGCGTGCTGGGGGTCCCACGCTCCGAGGAGGGGACATGATGAGGGGAGGCTGCCCGGAGGGTGGAGGCGGGAGGTGGAGACGGGAGGGAGGGGACTTGCTGGAAACCCCCAAGAGCATCCAAGAGGAAACGTGCCTGAACTGAGCAGCCCGGGGCCCGTCTTCGGCAGCCTAAGCAGGAAGCCGGCGCCAGGGAGCCCTGTCCAAAGGGAAAGCAGCCGCGGGTGCGCATGTTCGCCATCTGCCCACGGGATGACAGTGACTCCGGCTGCCCCGGCCCCCCTGAGGTACAGCGGGGGCCTCTTCCCCTCCTGGGCCAAGCCAGGGACACGCTCACCTGGCAGGACAGACGGGGCCTGGCGCACGCAGGTGCTGAAGACGTCCTCGTGACGTGGACGCGGGCCTGTGTTCAGATCTGTGCTGCACGCCTGCCCCGCTGCGCACATGACCCTCACCAGCCTGGCGCTGGGCCTCTCTGGGCCTCGGTGGCTTCGTATGTGAAGTGGGACCGTACTACCCACCGTGTAGATTTATCCGGCCGCACCGAGCAACATGAGATACGGAAAGCAGCTTGTAGGGTGCCTGGCACACAGTAGGTGCTCAGCTAACGTGACCTTGCTCTGTGCTATGTCCTTCTCACCGCCCCTGCCCTGACAGTTGGGGACCACGATTTATTATGGTTTTTCCCCTCACGCCGTGGAGCAGCGGGGAGGTGTCGAGCGGGGTCCCGTGGGAGCCCTGTGCCCACCTCTGCCCTGTCCCCCCCCCCCAGTCTCAGCTCTGCTCTGACCTGAGCGCCACGTCCAACCGTGAGCTGGTGGACAGCTTCCGCTCCAGCAGCCCCGTGCCTCCCAGTCCGCAGTCCCTGTACAAGAGGGCCACAGAGGACTTCCGGGAAGACCCCGGGTCTTTCAGGTAACGACTGGCAACGGGGTTCAGATGGCGCAGGCCCCGGCAGCTCACTGGGACACGGGCCGAGGGCGGGGCAGGTGCAGGGGCTCTGGGTCTGAGCGGGGAGCAAGCGAGGCAGCCCGAGCGGCCGTCTTTCCGTGCTTTCCAGTGGCTTCCCAGAAATCCTGCAGGTGGACCGGGGACCCACTCCGGGGACGAAAGCAGGTGACGCAGACCTGGATTATGAGATCGTAGACGGGGCAGGTGAGTGCGCCCCACCTGGGCCTCTGCAGCCACCCCCTCCCCTGAGCTGGGCTAGCTGGGCTGGCTGAGCAGAAGTGAGAACAGGGGTCTTCAGGGAGGCAGGTGAGACAGCCCCGTACCTCTCCAGGGTTGGGCTGAGGAGGCGAGCTTACCGCTGCCCCGCCCTGGGCCTCTGGGGACTCCTGACTACCTGGTCCTTTAAGCCCATGCCCTGTTTACTGGGCATCCTTTCTGTCTCTCACCTTGAAGCCAAGGGAGATGTGTTCATCTTCCCGTCCAGCTCAGCATTACCGCTCAGATAGCTCTGGACACACGTGTTCTCTCCATCCCTCCCTGCTCTCATGGCGACATCGGAAGACAGCAGGCTTTAGTCCCCCACCCCTGGAAAAGGCATCTGCTGGGAGCATCTCTCCCCCCAGGTGTGGCATGTGAGACCTTCCCACATCTCCTGTGGCTTATTCCTCATATTTGTGACTTGGCTTGTCTCCTCTCCTTCTCAACCATGGGCCCCACATAGACAGCCTCCTCACCTTTTCCACCCTGCACACCTGCCTACCCCCCCCCCCCCCGCCCCGCGAGCCTCGTGCACAGCAGGTGCTTAGCACCCCGTCTGGAATTCACCCCAGTGGCCACCAGGGGGCGCACAAACCTCTAGCTGTTCAGAACGTCCACCCCTTTAGGGCAGGTGGGGTCTGAGGCTCCCAGTGGGTCACTCGACGAGAAACCTTGCCCCCTGCGAGATGGTGTTAACCGAGAGGGTCCCCCCAGGGCATATCCATCCTGGATGTGATGCTCTTTGTTTCCTTTTTTGTTTTTAAGATTTTATTTATTTATTCGACAGAGACACAGAGAGAGAGGGAACACAAGCAGGGGGAGAGCGGGAGGGAGAAGCAGGCGTCCGCTGAGCAGGGAGCCCGATGCGGGGCTCGATCCCAGGACCCTGAGTTCATGACCTGAGCCGAAGGCAGACGCTTAATGACTGAGCCACCCAGGCGCCCCTTTTTGTTTCCTTCTGCCACAATTCTGTAGAACATCCTAGTTTATACACTTTTAGTGGAATTGACCTCAAGTACATCAGGAGTATACTATTTTCATTTGACTCTGAATGTAATCATGAATTTTGCCTATGAGCTCGGCAAAAATAGCAGGTAACCGTTGACCCAGGCAGAAATGCAGGTCCAGGCAGAAATGCGGCCCATTTTTTTTCTAAGTTTTTATTTTAATCACCCAGTGCTCATCACAAGTGTACTCCTTAATCCCCATCACCTATTTCACCCACCCACCCCCACCTAGATTTGATTTTTAATGAAGCCAGACATCCAAACTCCAGCTGCCCTATCCTGTAAAATGTTGGCAAGTCATTCAACTATCTCATAAGGACACACTATAGGTCAAACCCCACTCCTGTTTGGGGAAGATGACCTCAAGATTCTAAGCAGTGAGGGAGGGAAGACGCAGGGAGGTTCAGCCTCAGCAGGAGGAGACAGACCAGCAGGGGGTGCTGCCCAAGGCTGGGGTGGGGGGACGAGGTTGCCCGAGTAAGCAAAGCTCCGTCGGGAGGGGAGAGCCGGGGGGCTGGCCTGGCCTGTCTAAGCCCTCCACTTCCGCTCAGACGTTCCTGAGTGTGAGAGCAGCCTGCAGCCGTGGGCCGGGGGCCTCACCCTGTCGTCCAGGTGAACGGCGGGAGGGGCCGGGGCCAGCAGGTGGCAAGGCAGAGTGAGGGCTGTGTCCTATCTCTATTGGGAGGTGACGGCCCCTCTGAGGATGAGGTCATGGTTGGGGCGTGTGTGTGTGTGAGAATTCCAGAATGCTGGGGCCAGCGGGGCCAGGGCCTGGCCTGACCTCCTGCTCTGGTGGCTCGTGGGCTCTGTCACCCCCTCCTGCAGCAGCGTCCCAGTGCGGAGGAGGCTGGCCCGCAAGATCCTGAGCCAGGTCACCGTGCTGGCCTTCCAGGGGGACGCGCTGCTGGAGCAGATAAGCATCATCAGTGGCAACCTCACGGGCATCTTCATTCACCGGGTCACCCCCGGCTCGGCGGCGGACGAGATGGCCTTGCGCCTGGGCACTCAGATCATGATGGTGAGTGCAGCCCCCGCCCCACAAGCCCCTGCCCCGGGACCTTCTGTGGGTGGGGTCCGACTTGACACGGGCGTGTTGTCAGGATAGCCCAGGCTCCCTCTCGGGCTGAGGTTACACTCACTTAAAGGCTACGTTCCAGTTGACTCCCATGGGAACCCTGCCCCGTCTGGATCCCTGACGTTCGTGAACTCTGCTGGGTGAGCCCGTGAGCTCAGGCGAGGACCACCTGCCATCTGAGAAGGCTTCTGGCTGCAGCGGCCCTGACCCGGGACCTTTCCATAGGGCCATAGCCCGTTCTTTTACTGTGCTGATCACGTTGTGTGTATATAGTAAAATACACAGCCATCACATACAATTCACCATCTTGTTGGGGGCATCTTTAAACCTTTTTTATTGCAAAATATTCGTTAAACTGCAAAACCCATAAATATACCGCTTGACTAATTATTATCAAGTGAATATGTGGGCAGGGAGGCGACTTTGATGTGGCCTGGAAGCAGAAAAGAGTCACCCTGTTCCTGAGGCTGGTTCCCCCAGGAGGAGCCTGGGGGGAGCCTGGGGTGAGGTGGGGGCGGCCTGCGGCGGAGGCGAAGGCTGAGAAGTGTGGGCAGGCACTGCCTTTGCTCCGGAGCCCTGGGCCCGCCGGCTTCTCCCTCACCGCTAACAGGCTACGTTGTGGTTAAAGCAACTTTTATGATGTTTGGGGAGACAGTCCTGATATCTTAATGTATTTTATTATTATTTATTTACTTTTGAGTTTTTAATTCCAGTTAGTTAACATACAGTGTTATGTTAGTCTCAAGTGTACAATATAGTAACTCAACACTTCGGTAATCACCCGCGGCTCTTCCCAACTCTTGAATCCCCATCACCTGCTTCCCCCATCTCCCCACCACCTCCCCTCTGTAATCATCAGTGTGTCCTCTAGAGTTTAGAGTTGGTTTGTCTCTCTTTTTTCCCCTTTGCTCATTTCTTTTGTTTCTTTTCTTTTCTTTTCTTTTTTTTAGATTTTATTTATTTGAGAGAGAGAGAATGAGAGACAGAGAGCATGAGAGGGAGGAGGGTCAGAGGGAGAAGCAGACTCCCTGCCGAGCAGGGAGCCCGATGCGGGACTCGATCCTGGGACTCCAGGATCATGACCTGAGCCGAAGGCAGTCGCTTAACCAACTGAGCCACCCAGGTGCCCTCTTTTGTTTCTTAAATTCCACATATGAGTGAGATCATATGATAATTGTCTTTCTCTGACTTATTTATTTCACTAAGCATAATATCCTCCAGTTGCATTCATGTCGTTGCAAATGGCAAGATTTCTTCTTTTTTTTTTTTAAAGATTTTATTTATTTATTTATTAGAGAGCGAGCGAGAGAGAAACAGCATGAGAGAGGAGAGGGTCAGAGGGAGAAGCAGGCTCCCCGCTGAGCCGGGAGCCCGATGTGGGACTCGATCCCAGGACCCTGGGATCATGACCTGAGCCGAAGGCAGTCGCTTAACCAACTGAGCCACCCAGGCGCCCAAGATTTCATTCTTTTTGATGGCTGAGTAATATCCCATTGTGTGTATATACCACAGCTTCATTTTTTTTTTTTTTTAAGATTTTATTTATTTATTTGACAGAGAGAGAGACAGCTAGAGAGCGAACACAAGCAGGGAGAGTCGGAGAGGGAGAAGCAGGCTTCCTGCCGAGCAGGGAGCCCGATGTGGGACTCGATCCCAGGACCCTGGGACCATGACCTGAGGAGAAGGCAGACGCTTAACGACTGAGCCACCCAGGTGCCCCAATACCACAGCTTTTTTATCCATTCATCTGTTGATGGACATCTGGGCTCCTTCCATAGTTTGGCTATTGTGGACATCACTGCTATGAACATTGGGGTGCAGGTGCCCCTTCAAATAAGAATGTTTGTATCCTTTGGGTAAATACCCAGTAGTGCAATTGCTGGATCATGGGGTAGCTCCATTTTTAACTTTTTGAGGAAACTCCATACTGTTTTCCAGAGTGGCTGCACCAGCTTGCATTCCCACCAACAGTGTAGGAGGGTTCCCCTTTCTCCGCATCTCCGCCAACATCTGTTGTTTCTTGTGTTGTTGATTTTAGCCATTCTGACAAGGGTGAGGCCATATCTCATTGCGGTTTTGATTTGCATTTCCCTGAGGATGAGTGATGTTGAGCATCTTTTCATGTGTCTGTTGGCCATCTGGATGTCTTCTTTGGAGAAATATCTACTCATGTCTTCTGCCCATTTTTTTTTCTTCTGCCCATTTTTAACTGGATTATTTGTTTTTTGGGTGTTGAGGTTTATAAGTTCTTTATATATTTTGGATACTAACCCTTTGTTGGATATGTAATTTGCAAATATCTTCTCTCATTCCATAGGCTGGCTTTTAGTTTTGTTGATTGTTTCTTTCACTGTGCAGAAGCTTTTTATTTTTATGTCTTTTGAGTCCCTTGTCTCTGGCTACACATCTAGTAAGTTGCTGGGGCCGAGATCAAAGAAGTTACTGCCTGTGTTCTCCTTTAGGATTTTTATGGTCTAAGGTCTCACATTTAGGTCTTTCATCCACTTTGAATTTGTTTTTCTGTATGGTGTGAGAAACTGGTCCGGTTTCATTCTTTTGCACAGGCCCAGCCAGCCCCAGCCAGTGATCTTCGTGCCCAGGGTGGTAGGGAAGATCCTGAGCGAGAAGCTGTGCCTCCTCCAAGGGTTCAAGAAATGCCCAGCAGGTACGCCGTCACCTGGGAGCCCCACCTGCCTGCCGCGTGGCAGGGCAAGGCCTTGGCAGAATGCTTGCCTTCGCTCGGGAGAGCAGTGTGGAGGTCACTGTGTGAGTGTCCCGGGCCGCTTGGAACAGCAGAGGTCTATTCCCCCGTGGTGATGGAGTCCAGAAGGCTGAGATCCAGGCCGCCCCGCCCAGAGGCTCTCAGGGGGAGTCACTTCTTTCCTCTTCTGGCTTCCAGTGGTGCTGATGGTCCTGGGGGTCCTTGGCTTGTGGCTGCGTCACTTCTGTCTCTGCCTCCTTGTCACCTGGCCTCCTCCCATCTCTGTGTCTTCACACGGTCTTCTTATAAGGAACCAGTCATGGATTCAGGGTCCATCTTACTCCAGTGCGACCTCATCTTCACTAACCACATCTGCCAAGACCCTATTTCCAAATACAGTCACATTCCCAGGTTCCAGACGGTCACGCATCCTGGGGGGGTGCTATTCAATCCGGTGCAGTTACTGGTGGCAGATAGGTTTTACTCAAGTGGGGCAGGACCCCCAAATGGCTCTGCCCACCTGCTCACCCCCAGAGCTGCTTGGTGGAGAGTCACAGAGAGGAACGGGCCATCTGGAATCCTGGATCCCAGGGGACAGGGTCTGAGTGTCTGCACAGCAGGGGAGGTGGTTCCAAGGTTGGCGAGCTGGAGAGCAGCTTTGTGGGTTTTCATTCATCAGCTCGTCACTGGCCGATGGCTACGGGAAGCCTTGGGTTACCACTGGAGGGGGAATAGGGCTCTGTCCGGACCCCCTGGGGTTCACAGAGGGCACAGGGGTGAGCAAGTCTGGCTCCTCTAGCTGGCACCTCCCGTATGCCAGGTTCCCTGAGGGGAGTTGGAGAGGGGAAGCCTCCTGCAGACAGACAGGCTGCCGGGCGTTGGCTCCACAAGTGGCCCAGAGAGGGAGACAAGGGCTTTGGAGAAGACGGGGGCAGGCAGGAGCTGGTGGGGCCCAGGCCGGGCGGAGGTGCTCTGCGTGCGGCCCCGGGGGCCAGAGGTGCAGGTGTAGGACGCCGGGGAGGAAAGGCCGCGGAGAGCAGCTGTCCGTGAGCTGGAGTCCCCGGGGGCGGGGGCAGGGGGAGGTCTGACCGAGGAGGACGCGCGCTCAGACAGAGGCGATTCAGGAAGAAAAGCAAAAGCGGGGTGTGTTTTGACAGGTTTATTCAGGGCAAGGGTCCTCAACCTTGGCCCTGACAGTCGGGTGGGGTTGCCTCCCCCCGTGTGGGGGCGTCCTGGGTCCTGCAGGATGTCGAGCAGCACCCCGGCCTCCACCCAGTAGACACAGTAGCATGCCCCCCCAGTGGTAACAGCCACAAATGTCTCCAGACACAGTTGCCAAGTGTCCCCTGGGGGTACAGCTGTGCCCAGCTGGGAAGCGCTGACGTGTGGGCTCTAAGGCACTTCTGGGTGTGAGAAGCTGGATGTGTGCACTTGCACTTCTGGAGCTTAGGTGGGGGTGATGGGGAGGGGCTCGTTTATCTGCATCGCTGTGTGTGCAGGGCACAGACTCCTCTTGAGTGCTAAGAGCAGGGTCAGGTTTATAAAGAGGACATCCTGGGAGGCGCGTCCCCCAGAGCTGGTGGGGGACCATGGGGGGGCACGTGCAGCATGGAGCTCCCTCAGGACCTCACAGAGTGTGATGTCCCCATCCACTGTCACCTTCAGAGTACTTGAGCCAGAAGGAATATGATGCCTCCAGCCAGAGAGGGGACATCATCCAGGACGGGGAGGCATCTGGTGGCCGCTACTGGGTGACCCGCAGGGCTGTCGAGTCCCTCATGGAAAAGGTAAGGGGGGGCGCCTGAGTGGCTCAGTTAAGCGTCTGCCTTCGGCTCATGTCATGATCCTGGGGTTCTGGGATCAAGCCCTGCATCGGGCTCCCTGCTCAGCGGGAAGCCTGCTTCTCCCTCTCCCACTGCCCCTCCCCTCAACTCATGCTCCCTGTCTCTCAGTCCTGCTCTCTCTCTCTCAAATAAATAAAATCTTTAAAAAAAAAAAGGTAAGGGGCAGGTGGGGGCTGCTCTGGGGGCTTGGGGACCATCTCCAGAGGACGGTGGTGGGATAGGGCAGGAAGGACTGACCTTGAGATCTGGGGGACCCTGGTCACCAACCTGCAGGCCAGGGACCCCCAATGCTGGTGCTCAGCTCGTCTCTGGCTCTGTGTTCAGAGGGAGGAGTGCAGAAAGATCCAGCCCTGTCTCTGCCATCTGGGATCCGTGGGACTCTGGGCCGGCCTCTTAACATCCCTGAGCCTGGTTCCTCAACACAGGAAATGCTGAATAATATTTGTTAAATAACGAGTAAGATAGAGATAACACCCCATGACTTGAGGCTCACACAAATATATGAAAGGCAGCTTATGGTGAACCATGCAGTTTTATGTGGACCGAAGAGGGCCAGGCCCAGCTGTGCACCAGAGGCAGACACCCCCTTCCCAACAGCCCCCTCCCCCCCCCCTGCAGAGGCTGATGGAGGCTTCCGACCCCTCAGGTTCCAGCCCCCCTCAAAGTCTCCCTCAACTCCAATGGCTTGCAGTTCCTAGATTTTCCAGATGACAAACCAAAGGGACAGACTCTTGATTGTAAAACAAGTGCCCTCGGCCACCACAGAGCATCCCCGGCTTCTCTCACCACTGCCCCCCCTGGGCGTGGGCTCCCTTTGCTGTCTCCGAGGCCAAGGACCTTGACCCATCCATCTCCCCTGTCCCCTCCAGAACACCCACACCCTCCTGGACATCCAGCTGGACAGCATCTGTGCCCTGCACAGGATGGAGATCGTCCCCATCATCATCCACATCCACATCAACGAGAGGGCAGCAAAGAAACTCAAGTGGGTGTGCCCCCAAGGGCTGGCGGTGGGGTCTACACCTGGCGCCATGTGCCTCCAGGGCATGGGGCGGGGGGTCTCCGGGAACTCGCCCTGTGCCAGCCCCTGGAAGCATGGCAGGGCAGCTCCCCCACAGCTTCTGGGACAAAGGACCTGCTGCCCTGTTGCCTGGGGGACGGTGAGGCAAGACCTGGAGCCTGCCTTGACTTGACTAAGGGCACGTGTTCACTGGGGTACATGCAGCTGACAGTCCACCTGCGCTAGGTGAGAACAGGGGCTGAAAACCATTACTTGGTTTACGGCTGGGGGCAAACCCAGACGTCCTGTTGCCCCCTTATAATGTGTCAGCTGAGCTTGTAAACCAGACCCCCCCGCCCCGTGCAAGTCATCTGGGGCCTGATTCACGTGTCCTCTACGAGGCACTTGGGCCCCTCGAAGCGGGGGTCTGTACGCTGTCCCCTGGACTCCGAGCTGGGCTCTGCTCCGGGCAGCTAGCATGCGGCTCTCCCTAAGCGTGTCCCACCGTGTCCGGCCCATGCAGGAAGGCCCTGCAGTGGCTCGGCATGTCCGAGGAGCAGCTCCTGGAGGCGGGCAGGCAGGAGGAGTCCGAGCTGGACAAAGCGCCCTGTCTATACAGCAGTGTGGCCCCCGACGGCTGGGGTGACCCGGAAGCACTGCTCAGCTGTGTGCGCTACGTCATCGGAGATGAGCAGAAGAAGGTCATGTGGACTGAGCAGAGCCCCCGCTGACGGCCCCGCAGTCCCCTCCAGGGCCTGTGGGGACCTCTGAGTCCCTGTGATTTGAGCTCAGAGCCTCGCGGGCACAGCCTTGGGGGTGCTCACCACACAAGCCCAGCTCTCCGAGCATCTGCTCCCCTCTCACTGGGGTCCAACCTTGAACCCCACTCTGCGCAGGTCACAGGTGGGCATTCAAACCATCCGCCCACCTTCCTGTGCAAGCCATCTCCCCCTCCTCCAAGGCTTGGCTGCCAGGGTCTGAACCAGAGGCCTCGAGAACACGTCTGGGGTTTGGCATCTCCTGCATCCTCCCACAGCGGGAGGCCCCAGATGTCTCCAGAAAACCACCTGTCTGACCCAATTCTCCCCTTTTGCATTTCAATGTGCCAAAGGGCTTGTTCCAAAGCCACCGAGGCAGCAGGCTGGTAGCCCTGGTGCCCCCCAAAGTCACTGCCATCCCCGCCCAGAGCAGAGGAACAGACCCCCTTGTAAGGTAAGCCTGGCTTTCTCAGCTTCTGATGGCTGATACCTGCTTCCGTGACTCAAGTTTGGAAAGTCGTGTGTCCAAACTGGGAAATATGGTTTCCCAGCAAAGGAAACAGTATTTTCGTGGGTTTCTGCCTGGTGGCCACCATACCTGGTTCAGGGACCCACGGGGGTGTCCTGGAGAAGCCTCCCACAGACACCCTTGCACACCGGCCGGGCTCCTCCTGAGCCCGAAATCTTCCCCCTTTACCGGGCAGCCCACTCAGCCCCTTCTCCAGGGCAAAGCACCTTTCCTCTACCTCCAGGGCTCAGGAGACACATGGGCATGGTTGGGCCGAGCCCCCGGGCCCCCTAGCACCTGGCTTTGCCCCCTACTGTGGGGGACTGAATATCATTTTGGCAGCAGGGCCCCTGAACCCAAGTGCCTCAGGAAGTTGCTCTAGAATTCAGGCCGGCGTGCTCATAAACAAGCCAGAAAATGACCTTCTGCATGTTTTACTAAAACAAAAGGCTTTTACAGTGTCCTGGACTGTGGCTCTTCCTCCACGCCCCCAGGATGGCGTTGGTGGGGGAGGGCAGGGGAGAGCAGGAGCCCACCACTCAAGGGAAAAAGCCCCCGCGTTCTGGGCTTTCCAGGGAGACCTTCCGCTTTCCCGGCAGGTGGGCACCGGGCAGGTGTGGAGCATCTGCGAGCAACATCCGTGCCACAGCCCTGGAGTCCAACCGGACAGAACTAACCCAAGCCAGAGGACGGGCTCTTCCCCCCCGGACATTCAAAAAGGACGAGCTTGCCTCTACAGACCACAGGATGAAGCTCGGCACGTGGGGAGCCTGCCATGAATCAGCGGCCTAGTGGAAACCCAGCCAGGGTCAGGAACTTGACCGTGGGGCAGAGCAAAACAAGCCCCAGGCGTGTTCACAGATTTTTTCAAGACCAGAGGTGGATAAAAGGCAGACACCGTGTCCCTACATAGAGTGTAGTCTGAACCCTCCTGCCACCCATGTGGTACCTGGAAGTGGGAACATCTGGGGCCTCCAAAGAATGAAGAGGATCTCAAGCCCCAGGTCCCAGCCCCTTCTCTCTGCAGGACCCCAACCTGACCCAGGACATGAGACCTCCTTGCCCAGACCATCCTCACCTGTCATGGACTGGGGGACCCACCCTGTTCCAGGATCCCCTGGAATGTCTATGCTTATAGGGCTCAGACACAAGGACAGCAGTGTCCCCTACCACAGAGGGGTGAAGGACCGGGACACACGCCCTGCTCTCCCCTCCAGGCGGTGGCAGAATGACAGCAGCATCGGGGAGAGCCCTCATCAGATGGGCCGCGTGGGGACCCAGTCTGGGGAGGCCATGCACGTGCCCCAGGGACGCTCACAGCTCATTGTGGAGTGGCCGGCACTGGGGGGAGAGCCTCTCCTCCAGGACGCCATCGGGAGCACATACCCAGGGGTCATGGGTCTCCCACTGCCACTTGGCCAGCTCGGTCTGCAGCAGTTCAAGAACCTGCGCATAGTGGGGGTCGGCAGCCAGGTTCCGGGTCTCGTGGGGGTCCTGGCTCCTGTCATACAGCTCCCAACGCTCCCGGTAGTAGTAACGGTGGAGATCCTTATACCAGCCAGTGGGGCGGCCGGCCACAGTGCGGTTCAGGAGGTCCTGGAAGGTGGGCGACACGTAGAAGTCCTGGTCGATGGGAAAGGGCATCTTGAAATTGAGGTTGTGCACGAGGTGGAAGGCCTGGTGGTACACGGAGCGCATGGGGTAGGCCATGGTGACCTCGTGGTGACTCTGGCTGCCAAAGACGGTGCTCCAGAGGGGCTCTGCCTCCAGCACTGGCAGGAGGGACCGGCCTGTGAGCCGGACGGTCTTTGAGCCGAAGATGGCATAGCTCGGGTAAGGGATGGAGAACCAGTCCAAGATGGTGGGCGTGAGATCTGGAAAGGAGGTGGTGTCTCAGCAGGGCAGCCCTCCAGCCACCAAGCCACTCTGGAACGCTGGTGGGCCACCTCGCACACCGGGTCACCAACAGGGAGGCGCCGTTGTGGGCCCCCCACATGTCGAGGTTGTCTCGGCCCTCTAGCATACGATGCCTTTAATGGTTTAACAAGAGGCCCCAACTTGGTGATATTCAGGATCCTACCAGAATCCTTCGGATCAGTAAGGAAGCCCCCACGGAGGGGGCGCAGCTATCCCTGCCTTATGCTGTGGCCGCAGTGCTCCCCGACTTGTGCTTTGGGGCCAAAGGGACATGTGGGCCCCAAGCTGCATGGGCTCTGCTGCCCTGAACCCTCAAAACAGGGGCTCCCCGGAGCCTGCAGCATGAGTATCACCTGGGAGCTTGTCACGAATGCTACTTCTCAGGCCGACGCTCTGGGGGTGGGGCCTGCCGGGTGGGCGTTAACAAGCGCTCCAGCCGAGGCCAGCGCCCACCAGCGGGCCAGTGGGGAGGGCAGCAGTCTCAAAGACCGTGAGACCCAGGCTCGAATCCTGGGACCTTGGGCAGCTTACTTCTCTGATCCTCACTGCTGCCTCTGTAGAAGGGTGTGGCCGTCCCTTCCTTGCCCAGGTGGTGTGGGCACCACGTAAGGCAGCGGGTGCAGAGCACTGCCTGGGCCTGGTGGTGCTGCTCGTTTCAGCTTCCCCGCCCCTGCCCATGTGAGCCGCAGGGCCGTACCTAAGAGGCTCACGTAGGCCTCGCTGACCTGGCCCCAGCGTTTCGTGTGCTCTGGGGACGACACCAACAAGGGTTCGGCCGTGCCCGGCCAATACAGGTTGGTCCTGCCGCTGGGGAAGGGGATCCCGTTGTCGGATGTGAAGATCACCAGGGTGTCATTCAGGGCACCTGCTCCGCGCAGCTCCTGGAGCACGAGTCCGACCCCTGGGGGTGCAGAGGGGACAACAGAGCTCAGCCACGGCCGGGGGTGCAAGGGCGGGAACGCGCGTGCACTCACACATTTCTTCATTGGGCTGCTGGACCCTGCACCCCTGCCGTCCCTCCCTCCCTCCCACCCAGCACCCCGTCCAGCAGTAGGCCAGGGATGTCGGCCATCCCTCAGCACGTCCACGTCGCCCCGTGCAGCTGCCACCTACAGACGCTGGTTTTTGTTTTGTTTTCCAGAATCGCATGCCTGTCCCGCGGGGATAACTGGGCAGTGTGGGCGGTGGCTGGAAGACAGGACTCCCTCTACGCCTGTCCCCTCCCCGGGTCACCACCGCTAATAGCAGTTCTCCCGTTTGGAGAAGGGCTCTTTGCGAATGCAATCGTCAAGGATCTCAAGGAGATTGTCCCGAAGTGCCCAGGTGGACCCTAAATCCCATGACAAGTGTCCTTATAGAAGAGACACTGAGAAGACACCCAACTGGCTGTGTGAGGACAGGGGCAGAGAGGTGAGGGATGCAGCCAGGAGCCAAGGAACGCCTGGGGCCACCAGACGCTGGAAGAGGCAGGAAGACTGTCCTGTCCCCTAGGGCCTGCAGGGGGGACACGGCCCCGCCAACACTGTGACTTTGGAGCTCTGGGCTGGGATGGGGGCCCACGCTGGGGCATACCCCACGGTCCAGGCTCCTTGAACCCACCTTGGTCCATGCGGCTGATGGTGGTGTACTGAGCAGCCAGGTCTGCTCGGGCTGTGGGAGTGTCAGGGATGAAGTAAGGCACCTAGAGGGGCACGCGGGTACAAAGTCAGGGCTAGAACACACGGGCAGACAAGCCGGGGGGAAGGGGTGGCCAGTCCTTGAATTGGGGTAGGAGATGGAGGAGTCGGCCTTCCTTCCAGGGCCTGAGATCACCCTCCACCAGTGAACGGTTGAGCCCAGAACGTCCCTGCTTCTGGACACGTCACTCCACATCTTGACGCCTCTCTTTGCCGGCCCCGTGGATGGGAACCCAGATCCATTGAGTCACAGAGTCTCCTCTAAAACATGGTGAAGTCACACACCCGGGGCCAGGGCAGCCAAGTCCTCCGATTTACAAGGTGGTGGAGGAAGGGTAAGCGAGCATCTTGGAAACATGGCGAGGGGCTCCTACCAGCACGTCCTGTGGGTCATAGGTCTGCGGGGTCCAGTCTGGGATCCGCCCCATGCCGCTCTCCCCATTGCCAAACTTCTCACAGAAGGTCCCGTACTGGGGCTGGGAGTGCCCACAGCGGTGGGGGTCATGGAAGGCAACGTAGAGGAAGAAGGGCCTGCCCAGGAGGGAGGGGCTTAAGTCCTGAGGTCAGCCGGTGGACATGCCATCTGGCTTTCTACTCTGGGGAGCCCCTTTCTTTAGGAGGGAACACCCCTCAGCGTCGCTCACTCCTCTAGAACCAAAGTCTCCCTGGGATCCTCCGTCTCAGGTTCCCTGTGTCTCCTCTCCTTTTAACTTGAGTTTCTGGAACCCCCCCCCCCCACCTGGGGCCTCCAAGAATCCCCACTAAAGACTCTGGGATGTGCATCACGGGTTAACTGGCCAGAGGTCTGGCCGTGTGAGGGAGGGGACAGGGGCCTCCTCACACCTGTCATCCCGAGTCTGCAGGAACTTCCGGACCAGCAGCTTAATTCTGGTGATGTTCCGCCCGACCTGGAGGACGGAGCCATTCTCCTCCGTGTACGCAAATTCAAACGGGTACACCGTCTCGGGCCCCACATGCTTCTTCCCAATGATGCCTGGAGGTGGGGACATGGGCCTGCCAGAGTCCCGGAGCTATCCCACTGTCCTCCTTTCCCTTCCCCTCCCCCACACCCCATGGCCCTGGCGTAGCCTCTATGAGATCAGCCCAGGCCCTTGTTCTCATGGACCCAGGGCCCAGGGAGAAGGCCCCGGACCTTGGGTGCTCAGAGCACGTGACATGGGCGGAGGGTGGCTCAGGACGAGGCCTCACCCCACCAGGGCATGAAGCCGCTCACCTGTGCGAATGCCAGCTTGGCCAAGCAGCCTTGGCAGGCTCCGCACCTCATCGAAGGAGTTGAAGTGGTGGACGTCCTGGTGCAGGCCGTACATCCCATTCTGATGCTGTGGCAGAGACGCCTGTGAGGCGGGATCCCCCCTGCCTGCTCCCACTCTCCTGATGGCTCCTCAACCCGGCCCTTCCTGGGCCCCCCTGGAGACCCCGGCGGCCAGCATCCTGGGAGAGTCTCACCGCCTCTCCCGGGCCCCACCCCGTTCATGGGACATCAGCAGGAAACACGACAGACTGGGAAAACGTACCCGTAATTAGGGGTGGTTTTTATTTTCCTCTCGTCTACCTGTACTTCCCAACTTTTTTGTCATGAGCACGTACCATGGTGGGAAAAAGGGCAGCAAACCTCTATTAACTGGATCTTTTATAGTGCAAAAAAAAAAAATAGTTGACACATCACAGAGTCAGACTACAAAAAGACGTAAGGTGCGATGGGGCAGCCCTGTCCTCACTCCTGCAGCCCACGGCTGCCCAAGGAGCCTTCCGGGGGAGTAGGGGGGGCACAGGCCACAGCTTCCTTTTCCATGTGCGCCTCGGTCTCTCGGATGGGGACGCATAGGGCACAGTGGCTCACCATCAGAGGATGTCACGAGGCAACAGGTCCAAAGTAAGTACCTGCATCCCCACGTTCATAGCAACACTACTCATCACAATCACGGGTAGGAGCAACCTAAGTGTCCACGGACAGATGGACGGGTAAACAAAACGGGCCATACCCATAGGACGGGATGCTCATTAGCCCTTTCAGCCACGAGAAGGAAGGCTGTTCTGTGCTACAGTGTGTGGGGACCTGGGGGGCACTCTGCTCAGTGCAATAAGGCAGTCACAAAAGGACACACACTTTGGACTCCCCTAGAGTAACCAAGTTCAGAGAGACAGAGAGGCGATGAGCAGTTGCCAGGGGCCAGGGGAGAGGAGCGGGGAGCAGTGTTAACGGGCGCAGCGCTTCCGTTTGGGAAGATGAAGAAGTTCTAGAGGTGGACGGATGTACACATGGCTGCACAACAGTGTGAATGGACCTGATGCCACTGAGCTGCACATCTGTGAACGATTAAAAGGGTAAGTTCTACGCCGTGCGTATCCCAGCAGAGCAAACACGGAGGAAGTGCTTCACAGAGCACCTCTTACCTGCACTCACGCTCCTGGACGATATCGTAACACAAGTTAACGCTGAGCAAGTGCGTGTCAGACACCTTCCCACGTGCTTTACGTATAAACCACGAGCTTGGCCAACCCCATAATGATTCCATGAACGAGGTATCATCATGACCCCATTTCACAGGTAAGAAGATCGAGGTGCACAAAGAGCGCTTTGCTCACAGTCACACAGAGCAGTGGAGCCAGGGCTCATGGTGGGCAGGTGGTGGGGAAGAGAAGGTGAGCACATCCCAGGAGAGGTCAGGGAGGGGCTCTCCCTGTCCCATGCCCTGCTCCTGCACCCCTGCGGCCCTCACCTGGGGCAGGCCAGTGAGCAGACTGGCCCGGCTGGGAGAGCAGCTGCTGACGGAAGTGAAGGCATTGCGGAAGATCAGGCTGCGGCGGGCCAAGGCGTCCAGGTGAGGGGTGCTCACGGCACTGTTGTTGTAGGTACCACTCTCAAAGCCTCCATCGTCCGCTGAGGAAGGCAGCGACACTGAGGCCGTGGTGGCCTGGGCCGGTGAGGTCCACGCCAGTGGGATACCCAGGTGGGCATGACATCTGGGCGGCCTGACACCTGCCTGGGACTGACACCCAGAGGGCATGATACTCAGGTGGCCCCGTTAGCAAGTGGGCACGATGGGGCAGTCCTGAGCTCGGCAGACGCTGCATGAGGATGCGGTTTCTGCACCCGAGTCCCCAGCAAGGAGATGCTGATGGGAGCCCTTAGGGGAGACCTGTTTTATGCTACAATCAGCTGCAAGGCCTGGCTGGAGACCACAAAGTTAATCAGAGAGAGTGCGTCTGGCACAGCGCCAGACCTCAAAAGAGGAAAGAACAGGGCTGTCTTATGACAGCTGGAGCCCTGGTCACCAAGTCTCCTGAACAGCCGGGCTCTAGAGGAACTTGTGATTTCTGGAAAGGGCTGGGGTTACGGGAGTGGGCGGGGTGGGCTGTGCTTTTCTGCCAGAAGGAGATCTGAGCCGCAGGGCTCCCGGGTTTGAAAACGCAAGGGCAAACTTACAGGGTTACACCGCTGGGGAGGAGAGGAGAGCGGGGCGTCCCGGGCACGCAGCCACGTCTCTGGGGACTTGGGCATCAGCCCCTCTTCCAGCATCCCCTCTAGGGACTGTACAACACTGCGTTCTGCAAAACCGCCCAGCTTCCCGAGCTGGGCGCCCTGGCTGATGTGGGCACGGGTAGGGGTGGGGGTCAGAGCCGGGGGCAGGACTGGGGTGCTGAAGGCTGGCCGACCCGCGGTGGGTGAGGCCGCCCCTGCCTCCCTCTCCAAGAAGCCGACCACGAAGGGTCTGGGGCAGCGGGGAGCGCAGACGCGAAGGGCTGCAGGGCTCGCTGGCTGGGGCGCACTCACCGAGGATCAGCAGCACGTTCCGGGGGCGCGCCCGGTGCAAGCGGCAGACGACCAGGGCCAGCAGCAGCCCCCAGCAGGTCGGCCCTCGGCGGCGCATGGCGGCGGCTCGGCCCCGCCCCGCCCCGCCCCGCCCCGCCCGCGGTCACGCGCTCGCTGGCCCCGCCCTCCGGTGGTCACGCGCGCCCGGGTCCCGCCCCCGGGTGATCACGTGCGCTCCAGGCCCCGCCCCCTCTCCTCCCTCCCGCTCCCTTTGCGGTTCCTGCGGACCCCGCTGCGGCGACACCCGGAGACCCCAAGCTGCGGCGCCCGGTGAGTCCACGGCGGGCGGGGAGCGGGGCCTGCGGCCCGGGGCGGAGTGGGCGAGCTTCGGGGGACGGGCCGGGGTCCCCGGGGGTGGCGCGGGGCTCGAGGGTGCGGGCTCCTCCCGCGGGGACCCTTCGCCACTGTGTCTCCACCGCGTCCCCACCAGGTCCCCGCCGCCCTCGGCCTTGCTGGACTGGCCAGCCGGCGTGGGGTCCCCCTAGACCGCAGGGTCCGGGGCAAGCGTCCTCGGGGGTGGGAGGCGGGGTGTGTCCAGAGCCGGTTAGGGGGGTGAGGGGTGGTATGCGGCCGGCTCTGCGCGCGGGGGGCGCCAGGACCCTAGAGGATGCTGCGCGTCCTGAATTAATGGCCTCGGACGCTCTCCCAGAGCCCGCTAGAGTCTCTGGGCGCTGCTGTAGGGACGGGAAAGCCACAGGTGGGGGGCGGGGTACGGCGCGGCCTCAGGGTGGGAGACCCCCAGCCGCCAGCGCCGCAGTGGGTGGAGTCCGCCGTGCTACGTACGCACTTGGAAAGCCTGGGGTGCTCATGGCTGCAGTCCCCCCCCGCCCCCGCGCACACGCCCCCAGCCGGACGAGGGTACCCCGTGGATCCTGCTACTCCTCGCACTGCTCCCCGCTAAATTCCTTGGGGAGGGAAAAAGAAGAAATACAACTTCTCGGGAGGAGAGACGTAGTGTCTCATTAGTGTTTTAAGTTTCTCACTGAGAAATCATATACCGTATTCTTCCTGGCAAGTGTCCGTGGAGAGGAGGCAGCTGGTTGGGGCCGGTGGGGTTCAGCGAGAGCAGCGAGCAGGGGCCAGGGTGGGGGACTATCTTTTCTTGAGGCTCCCTTCTGCACAGGTTTGGCTTCCTTTCAGAACATCTGGCTTAGACCCCGTGGGGGAGACAGATGTGCCTCTCCTGAGGGCCCTAGACCCCGCCCTATCGCTGCATTCTCCCAAGCCCAGACCCTGACTGCTGGTCTTGTGGCCCCCATGCCCACCCCAGGCATGCCGTCTTCTGTGAAGGCGTTGGGTCAAGCCAGGCCCCCGGGTGCCAGTATGGCCCCCCAGGCCCACTGCTGCTCCCCTGCAGCTGTGCAGAGGCGGCTGCCCATCCTGGCTTGGCTGCCGGACTACTCCCTGCAGTGGCTGAAGATGGACTTCATCGCTGGACTCTCGGTTGGGCTCACAGTCATTCCCCAGGCGCTGGCCTATGCTGAGGTGGCTGGACTCCCGCCCCAGGTGAGATGGCTGCCCCGGCCGCCGCCCCCACCCCAGCCTCAGCAACCGCCCAGAAGCAGAGTAGGAATGCACCACCCCCCCCTCCAGACAAGCGGTGCGCCAGAACTCCAGCCCCGTGGGGCCCCAGAAGTCTCCGTGTACCGTTTATAGCACATGACTGTCTTGGGGCAGATGCACGGCCCCGTAACACGCGAGGCACTGAGCTAGTTCTGGGTTGTCCGAGGGGGCCAGCAGGATGACTCACCATGGTCTCAAGGACACTGTCTTAGACTCACAGACTGAGGCAAGCATCCAGGCCTTTGCGTCCCTGCTGGCACCCAAGTGGGGTGTGGTAGAAAAGAGGCCCCTAATCGCCGTGGGTCCGCATCATGGCTAACGGGGTGAGCGCTTTGCCCTGTGTGCGCTGCTGTGCCTGTAGTCACGGCGGCCCCCACAGATCCTGTGCTCAGACATCTGCCCCCGGGACTCTGTGGGCCCCCCGTGCACCTCGTCGATGCTCTGTGCTGTCTCCCCACCAGTACGGCCTCTACTCTGCCTTCACGGGATGCTTCGTGTATTTCTTCTTGGGCACCTCCCGGGATGTGACGCTGGGCCCAACGGCCATCATGTCCCTCCTGGTCTCCTTCTACACTTTCCACGAGCCCGCCTATGCTGTGCTGCTGGCCTTCCTGTCTGGCTGCATCCAGTTAGCCATGGGCTTCCTGCGCTTGGGTAAGACTGTCGGGCCTTCCTGCCAGGGGGTACCCAGGCACCTGCCTCCTGGGGATGCCCTGGCCCTCAGCCTTTCCATCTTTGCCTCTAAAGGGCTGTTCCTGTGCGTGTGTGAAGGTGGGGGGGGGTCTCCTCAGCCCTCCGCTATTCTGCTTAGAGGCCAAGACACTTGGGGAAGTGTCCAGGGCCTCAGACCCTACCCTCCCTTCCCCGCTGTCCAAACCTGTCCAGACAGGGTGTGTGGTCCAACAGTGCTTAGCCCCAGTCCCCCCAGACCACCTCTCCCAGCCCATATCCACCCACGTTCTCTGGGACTGGTGGTCCCAGTTCAGTATTCCCTCTTGGCTGGCCAGGCTTTCTGCTGGACTTCATCTCCTGCCCCATCATCAAGGGTTTCACATCCGCTGCCACCATCACCATCGGCTTCGGGCAGATCAAGGTAGGCACGCTGGTTGGCGGCCAGGCCCCTCCTGGGTAGTAGGACCGAGGCTGGCTTCCCTACGTGTGGGCCAGTTCATGTCTTGCTCTTCCAGAGCTCAGAGCACAAGGTGCTCGAGTGGGTCTCCATCGATTCCGGGAGCCCTCGGGGGAGATGCTGAGTGATGGTGGGACCGTATGACAGGTAACTGGGGTGACTGGTAACAGCAGCCCCGCCCCTGTTGGAGCTTTGGGGCCAGCGTGCTTGGTCCGCCTCACCGGGCGATTCCGTTCTGCTGCCTTCCCTCGGCCTCTTAGGCCGTCAGCATACCATTAACGTGTTGAAGAGCAAATTATTCCTCCATGCTCGTTTAGCGAGGTGATTTCATTTTAATGTTTTTTCCCCCAGTTTCTGTTCAGGATTTTTTCTTTAAGATTTCATTTATTTATTTGAGAGAGGGAGCACACGCACAAGTATGGGGAGGGGCTGGGGGAGAGAGAGAGGCAGACTCCCGCTGAGCAGGGAGCCCGATGCGGGGCTCGATCCCAGGACCCCGGGATCACGATCTGAGCCGAAGTCAGATGCTTAACCAACGGCCATCCAAGCATCCCTCTTACAGATGATGTTTTAAACAGAAACATAAAGAGGCAAGGCATTTGAAAAATACTGAACAGAGGGGCTCCTGGGTGGCTCAGTCAGTTAAGCATCCGACTCTTGATTTCGGCTCAGGTTGTGATCTCAGGGTCCTGGGATTGAGCCCCCTGTGGGGCTCCATCCTTAGCGTGCACGGAGTCTGCTTGAGATTATCTTTTTCTCTCCCTTTGCTCCTCCCCCGCTTGCATTTTTTCTTTCTCTGAATAAACAAGTAAATAAAACCTTTAAAAAAAAAAATCTGTAAAAAATATTAGAACCGATCATCATCAGTGAGCCGAGGACATCATTTCTTCTCACTGCGTGTTCGGTTCCCAAAGGGCAGGTATGGTTTTGCTTGCAGCTGTGGCCACCCAGCCCCGAGCTTTGTATGAAAGGAGGTGAGTGCCCAGCTGGGTGTGCAGAACGGAGCTGAGCCAGATTGTACAGCAGCCTGAGGGCCCACCCCCGTCTCAGGGCCTGCCGTCAGCACCGCTCCTCTCTAAGGCATGGTGCCCGTGGCCAGGCTCTGCTCCAGGCTGGCCCGGGAGAGCCTTCCTGAGAGTCAGGGACGGGAGGGTGTGAGCGAGAGGAAAGGAGCAGACCCTTTCTGCATTCCTACTGTGTGCCGGATGCTGGGTTAAACCCTCCCTTGTCTCGGATTGTCCTGATGCCTCCGGGAGGCAGGTTCATCATCATCTGCGCGTAGAGAGGCGGGAATTCGTTAGGTGTGGGTGGACACGGTTTGCGTATGCTATACACACGTATGTCATGGTAAGCTCAGCAAGTGCTGTTTCGTGGGATGGTCCGTCCTTTATTCTGGAAACAATATCTTTCCTTTTTGGTGTCAGGAATGTTCTTTTATGCAGTTGTAACACATAGAAGATAGCTTCTTTATGCACTCGTGCTTGGCAATGCTAGGTTCCCTAAATCTTTAACACCTCGATTGAGTCATGACAGCCATCTGAGAGCCCTAGGCCAGGGTGGGGGTCAGGAGTGGGGGGTTCTCCTGACGGGCCCTGGCAGGAGCCCCCTGGGTCCCAGAATTCTGTGTTTCCACACCGGTGTCTGTCCCCATTCAGGGCTGTGTGCATGGGTTTTGGGATCCTTGGTCTGCGCCTCAGCCACCCCACTAACACTCCCCACTCGGTGTCAAGTGGGATAAAGAACTAAAACACAGAGGAGAGCACCTTCTCCCCTCCAAGGACCCTGCCTGCTTGCGCCCCCGCAGCGGTCCTTCCCTGGAGGCCCTCAGAGCCCCTGGTGGTTCTGCCCACAGCTCCACTCATTTACCTTCTGCCGGGGGCAGTGCCTGGCAGGTGTGCCTCTGGCCAATGGCAAAGGGGGGCAGGGCCCGCACTGAGTGAGGGCAGGGTGTGTCAAGGGCAGTGGGGCCCACGGGGCAGGCAGACAGTGACCCTGGACCCTTGACCAGGGCATGGCTGCTTTGAGATCACCCAGACTGATTTTTCTCACAAAGGAGAATTATTCACCAAGAGATGTCTTTGACCATAAACATGAAATGCCTCTTCTCTCGAGGATAATTCTGCTCTCCTGCCCCTGGGGGCTTTGGGAATGGGCAGATGGTCTCCAGAGAGCCTCTGGATGTGACCCCAAGGAAGGGGCCCGAGATGTGCTGAGATGTTGTGGGGGAAGGTTGTCTAATCCAGTCTCTGTTTGGACAGAACCTCCTGGGACTACAAGATATCCCGAGACAGTTTCTCCTGCAAGTGTATCAGACCTTCCGCAAGGTCGGAGAGACCAGGTACCTGCCAGCTGTGTGGTCCCGCTCTTGGTTCCGGAGCCCCTCTCGGAGGCCCCGCCCCATTTCCCGCCGCGCCCCCCCCCCCCCCAGGTGGCATGTATTCCAGTCCCCTGGGGCCTGGCCGCCCATACAGGGTCCCAGAGCAGCGCCACAGGGGAGCGGGTTAGAAACGCAGACCCTCAGCCCTGCCCAGCCCTGCTGCATCGGTTGGGGTTCAGCAGCAGCCCCAGGGAGTCGGTGTGCACGCTGAAGTTTGAGAAGCTCTGCCCGGGGCCTGAGAGCCGGTCAGCGTGCCCCTGCTCACAGCCTCCGTGGGTGGTAAGAGTGGGAGGGCCGCAAGCAGAGGAAGAGTGGCAGTCTCTCTGAAGGTTTGTAGTTCAGCGAGGAGAACACAGGGCATGGGGGAGGCAGGTGCAAACAGAACGTGCAGGGAGAGGATGAGAGCCAGACCGCCACTCGTGGGGCTCCTTCAGATGAAGGGCCTCTCCCAGAGGGCAGACAGGAGATGCTTCTAGAGGAGTGCAGCTGGAAGCCAGGACCTCTCCTTGGCTGGAGGAACGAGAGGACACAGTGATCTGGAGGGAGCTGCTGGGGGGAAGGGGTGGGACACCTGTGACCGGCTGTCTTCTCCTCCGCTTCTGACCGGCTGTGAAGCTTCCCGGGGCTGAATCCATCCGAGCCAGGGGCTCCCTGGCCCAGGACGTGCAGCCTGGTTGGGGGGGGGGGGTTCTCATCGGGGGGGGCAGGGGATTTGGAGACTGACCGGTCAGAGAGCCTCCCAGGCTGTGAGAAGTGAACCTTCTGGAACAGACGAGGCCCCCGAAGCCACAGAGCTACGTGGCTGTAAATGTGAGCCATAGCCCTACCGCCGTGGTGATCTGGGCCTCGACTCCCAGGCCTGCGTGGTCGCTGAGTGCTGAATCAAGTCTTGAAGGAGAACAGGGATGCATGTGTCTTGGGAAGAAGCGAGCAGAGCAGTCGAGAGAGAGGCGCTCTGGCAGAAGGGGCGATGGAGGGGCAGAGGTGTCCGCCCCGGGCCAGCCTGGGTGTGATCGGTGTCTGTCCGCAGGGTGGGCGATGCCGTGCTGGGGCTGGTGTGCATGGTGCTGTTGCTGGTGCTGAAGCTGATGCGGGACCACGTACCCCCCGTGCACCCCGAGATGCCCCCGGGCGTGCGGCTCAGCCACGGGCTGGTTTGGACTGCCACCACAGGTGAGCGGTGCTCTGGCCGAGGACGGGCCGCAGCCATTCTGCACACCGGGGCGCACCCCGCGAGATTCTCCTGTCGCTGGGCTGGGCGTGACCTGGGCACCAGATATTGAAACTTGCCAGCAGGCTCTGATCCACGGCCAGGGTGCAAAACGGCGTTTAGTAGCAGGAGTTCTCACGCACAGGCGATTTCCACCCCCGGGGACATTTGGCAATGTCTGGAGTCGTTTCTGGTCGAGACTACTGGGTGGGGCTGTCATGGGCACCGGTGGGGAGAGGCCAGGGAGGCCCCCGAACGCCTGCAGTGCACAGCCGATGGCGAAGGATGATCTGGTCCAGAATGTCAACGGTGTGAGGCTGGGAAGCCCTGGCTGGTCCCCGAGGGAGAAATCACATGGATCACGTGCTTCTGTTTGAGCCGCGCAGCTCTGAGCCTGGGTTTCCCATCACACAAATGGGTAGCAGGGCCCTGGGCCTTTCCTGCGCCCTGGAGGGTTGTAAACAGCTAAAATAGTTGTAGTCCTGACGACAACGTCCGTGATAAGAGTGATGCAGCCTTTTGAGGGCTGGGTCGGTGATGGGGCTCATATTCTGGGAAGAGATATCACCCCCATTTAAGAAGCCAGCACAGGGGCACCTGGGGGGCTCAGTCTGTTACGCATCTGACACTTGGTTTTGGTTCAGGTCCTGATCAGGTGGGATCGAGCCGTGTGTTGGGTTCCGCACTCAGTGGGGAGTCTACTTGGGGTTCTCTCTCCCTCTCCTGCCCCTCCCCCCTGCTCGTTCTCTTTCTCTCTCAAATAAGTAAATAAAATATTTTTTAAGATTTTATTTGTCAGAGAGAGAGAGCACGAGCACAAGCAGGGGCAGAGGGAGAAGCAGTCTCCTCGTAGAGAGAGCAAGGAGCCCGACACGGGGCTCGATCCCAGGACCCTGGGATCATGACCTGAGCTGAAGACAGATGCTTAACAACTGAGCCACCCAGGTGCCCCATAAGTAAAATCTTAAAAAAAAAAAAGGAAAGAGGGCAGCACAGCTCAGGCAAGAGCCGAGAGGCGGGACCCGAGGTGACCAGTAGACGACGTGGGTAGGCCGTGTGTGTCACTGTGGGCCTGTCCCGCCATCTCACACTTGCTGTGGCATCATGTGCTCGTGCCTGCCCCTCGGTCGCTGGTGTGTGTGCTGTTTCCCAGGCTGCAGTGATGGGGGTGGTGGCTGGGGGCGGGTGTCCTGCTTCCCCGGGTGTATTTACTGCCCCAGTTACCCAGAGGAGCCAGATTTCACCAACGGGTCTCCCTTCTGTCCTAGCCCGCAACGCCCTGGTCGTCTCCTTTGCCGCCCTGGTCGCATACTCCTTCGAGGTGACCGGATACCAGCCTTTCGTTCTAACGGGGAAGACCACCGAGGGGCTCCCTCCAGTCCGGATTCCGCCCTTCTCAGTGACCACGGCCAATGGGACAGTTTCCTTCACCGAGATGGTACAGGTGGGTGGAGACGGGGAGCCAGGCCTGCTGGGTGGGGCTGAGGTGGCCTCGGGGCCTGGTTCCGTGCCTCTGATGCATCTGCTTCGGAACAAGGAGCTCTGAGCCCGGCTGGGACCGCTGAGTCCTCGGGACCGAGGGCCTCTGGGTGCAGGGACAGGCACAGAAGGGTCTGGGCCCGACCTCGAAGGACACCACGTTTAGTTGCACTGTGGACACTGGCAGAGCAGGGATGTGTCCTGTGCTCTGCTCTGCGTCCGGCCCCGGGTGTGAGCTCCCGGCCCTGCAGCTGAAGCACAGCTTCCGGTCAGACGTGGAAGAGTGCATGCCAGCCTTGGTGGGTCACTGCCTGGCCGGCCCCTCCTCACCTTCCCCGGAGGCCCGCTTACTGTCCCTCTCTCCTCTCTCAGGACATGGGTGCTGGGCTGGCCGTGGTGCCCCTGGTGGGTCTCCTGGAGAGCATCGCGGTGGCCAAGTCCTTCGGTAAGATGCCCGCCGTCGGGGCCTCCTGGTGGTGTCCCGGAGCCGGCCTTGCCTGCCTGCTCTCTTGCTTGCTCTTACCTGCTTTGGTTTTTAACAGCTTGAGTTTTTATCCAAGTAACACATGCTCGTGTTTTTAACAAAAAAACGTGTAGTAAAAGTGGATTTATGACAAAAACCCCCATCTAGCGGTGGCTGGTAATGTGTGCCAGCCTGCTGTCCGGAAGGAGAAGGCCCTGCGTTTCAACGCCTTCGCCTCGTGGCGTAATCGTGCCCCACCTCGGGCTGCCTCCCAGCAGCTCGCGGAGTTTGATCGATCGCATCTCGGGGTCAGATGCCGCGGCGTCCACCCGCCGGACATGTGCGGTTAAATAACTTCGTGGGTCGTAGTGAAACGTAGTAGGTCAGGAAGGGATACGTTTTAAGTCTGTCTTCAGTTTTGATGTAATTTATGTCATTGAAAGCTTTTACCTAATAGGTAATAATGGCTGTATTTAATGACAGGTTCCCAAGATTCCTAAAAATTTAGCAATGCGCTATTTCCAGCTGGCTGAGTACCCCTGGCCTGTGCTCTCCCCGCCCCCAGGGAGGCCGGGACGCAGTAATCTAGTTAAGCGCCTATTTGTTCGCCCAGAACTCGGATTCCTCCGTCAGAGCTGAGGCTGCTCCATCCCTCAAGTGTCCACTCCCTTGGGTCCGCGGGGCGTCCGGCTTTGTGTTGTGCACGGGGATGGCATTTTCCTTTCGTTCTACGATGGTTACGCTCTTGTCACACTGGGGTACAGGTCGATTCTAAAGGTGAAACCCAATAAAGGGCATGCACGTCGCCGTACCTACATGGACCGGATCTGGTTGTGGCAGCATCCCGACCCCCCGTCCTGCCAAGGAGACTCGTGCCTGATGCGCATTCCGAGGGCCCATCCCTGCTAACCACCAGCGGCTGCTCCAGGTCCCGCCGCACGTTCCAATCAAGCCTTCCTGTTTTTCTGATGATCTTTTTCCGGGTGGGGAGTTTTGGGCGTATTTTGGAGTCTGCGTCTTAACAGCGTTTATGCCTCTTGTGACTTTAAAACTGTCTTCTGAAATCACTTGATGTCCCATCCTAACTCGTAAGCTTGTCATTCTCCAAAACCAGGGTTGGAGAACCACAGCCCGCGACCCAAGAGTAAGAATGGCTTTTACGTTTTTTTTTTTTTTTTAAAGATTTTATTTATTTATTTGAGACAGAGAGAATGAGAGAGACAGAGAGCACATGAGAGGGGGGAGGGTCAGAGGGAGAAGCAGACCCCCTGCTGAGCAGGGAGTCCGATGCGGGGCTCGATCCCGGGACTCCAGGATCATGACCTGAGCCGAAGGCAGTCGCTTAACCAACTGAGCCACCCAGGCGCCTGGCTTTTACGTTTTTAAACGTTTGAAAAAATTTCCAAAGATGAGGATTTTGTGACACACGAAAAGCGTGTGGAATTTGCATCGCAGTGTTTATATAAAGAGGTGTTCCTGGAACATGGTCTTGCTCACGTGTTTTCAGGTCCCCACAGCCACTTCCAGCTACGACAGGCACCGAGTCGTCGCGACAGGCCGTGGCCCGCAGCCCCTGCAGTGTTCCCAGCCGGCCCTTCCCAGAAACGTTCACCCGCCCTGTGTCCCCGCTACAAGCTTGCCGGCCCCTCTGTCTGCACGGCCCCGGCTGGGACCTCTGGTCCTCGGCACTTGTAGTCAGGGTTTAGTTTCAGACTTTCTCCGCTTCTTACGGAAGCAGCGTGTGTTTGTGGTAGGAAACGTCCAAAGTGCCGAAACGTAGAAAGCGAATCGCTTGCGACGTCCACCACTACCCCGCTTACCTACGGTTCACGTGTTGCTGTACGTCTGTCTGCTTTTCGTGTGACACAGCGACACAGATGTGTATGCTCGCGTACGCACACGTCTTTTATACGTGTTCACGTGCCGTATTTACGACAAGGAGACGGTGCTGCGGGTAGAGGTTTATGATCTGTGTTTTCAGTTCATGAATATTTTCTTAGTGGCGTCGTATATCCGGTGACTGTTTTCATTGTCCTTTCTCTTTAGCTTCTCAAAATAATTACCGCATCGATGCCAACCAGGAGCTGCTGGCCATTGGTAAGCCCCCCGCGGCGGCTCTCTGAGGTCGAGAATGCTTCTCTGCGGCTCGCCTGAGCTGCGCAGGTCGTAGGGATGGTCGCGGTGAGCTTCAGGGAGCAGAGGTGGCCCCGAGTTGGGCCCTTTGAAAGCCTTGTGTGGATTCATCCTTACGCTTCCAGACGGTTCAGTGTAATCCCTAGGAGCAGGCCGCTGAGGTGTGGTGCCCGTGCTGACCGAAGCTTGTTGAGCGCTGGCTGTGTCCCTGACCCTGAGGTCTGTAGCCTTGTGCTGTGTCGAGGAACGCCGGAATGTCCCACCTGGGGTCAGATTGCTGAGGAACGTGGCCAGGCAGGACCTGCTGGTCGAGTGGGTCCTTGACTGCCCTGGCCCCCCGCCCCAGGGCCTCCCTCCAGGCCGGCAGGTGGCTCCGTGAGGACTTGGGGAGGGCCCACTGTGGACGGATCTGTGCCTGGCGTCCCAGTTTTGTTTTGTCTGACCTCTCTGGTGATTCGGTCTGAGGACGTGACATGAATCTTAAATTCAGTTGTCATGACCCTTTTTAATTTTGTGGACACCAGGCCTGTCTGTCTTTGCTTCCTGCCCCTGGTGAGGTGGGCACGGGTCGGAGCGGGCAGCAGCCCCGGGTGCCTTCCCAGCGGAGTCCACGGGAACCTCCCCCGTTACCACTTCACCTTGCGGCAGCTATTTGGACCCGAGCCACTGGCTTTCCCAACGGCAGAGGGCGTGGGGCCCCAGGATGGGTCACAGGAGCTTTGGGGGGGCTCCTCTCTGAGCCCATGGTGGCGGGCATCACCTGGGTGGCTGGTGAGGTGGAGTTAGCCGGGACTGGCTCGCTCCCAGGCAGAGGAAGTCTGTAGACTGACCTTCCCCACACTCAGTAGTAGCAGTTCCGGGTAGGAGTCCTGGGAGCCTCTCCGTTCCATTTCCGCATAGCATAGGACTCCTCTGCTTCTCGGCAGTGATGGGCAAGGAGCAGTCACGAAGCTGAGATTCTTAAGGTGGGCACGTGGACCCCAGGGGCTGCTGACCTGGGGTGTAAGAGAGGCCAGGCAGCTCTCCAGCAGCCACATAGCAAGAGGCCTCCATCGACCCTACAGAACACCACACGGGGAGGGATCCACACATCCCCGCTCCTCAAGCGGTAGGGCCCTGACCTGAGTCTCAAGGGGCCATCGTAAGGAGTCAGGGTGACCACGTGTGGTCCATGCATGGCCTTTGCCACGTCCACCGATGTCTGTCCTACTCTTGTGGCATGTGCTGGGCTGTGGGACCCGAGAGGGCCTGGCTCTGAGCGGGCCCCACCCTGAGCTATCTTGAGCCGGTCTTGGACCTGTGAGCCCACTGTGGTGTTTGTGAAGGTGCCAGGGTAAGCCAGATGCTGGCAGGGTTCTGTCAGGTGTGGGTGGGTCAGTGTAACGGGGTGGACACTTACTAGCCATGACCTCCTGTCCCAGCTGGTCCTCTCACGAGAGAAGTGTGGGTCTGAAGGAACTCGTGGGGTACAGCGGGTGGGCAGCTGGCTGCCAGGCAGTCTTAAGTGTCCTTGGTCCCTCCTGGGGAGGTGGGTTCCTCTCCCTGTTACACGTGGGAAAAGGTGTATTTAGCTCACCGGGGCAGGGCCGGGGCCAGAGTTATGTTACAGTGAGGGTCGGTGAACTTGGCAGAGATCATGGTTTGTTCTTCCTTCCCGGAGGCAGACACACGGACATAGACATAGGACCCTCCTGGGTGATTCCTCTGGCCTTCTATCTTCTGTTTCCTTTCTGGTTTCTGGCCTCCCTTCCCCTGCCACCCCCCATCTGTTTTAAACCCCTCTCCCTCCTGGATAAACCCCTTCCTTCCGCTTTCTCCCCAGGCCTGACCAACGTGCTGGGCTCCCTCGTCTCTTCCTACCCGGTCACAGGCAGCTTTGGACGGTGAGTGACCATGTCCTTCCTTCCCTGTGCCCCAGGGGACAGGGGGGAGTCCCAGCCCAGGCCAGACGGTCCGCGTCCACCTCAAAGAGCCTGCCCGGTCCTTGGCCACGTCTGGATGCCACTTCGTTCTTCTCTGGGGCAGAAGTCTGCCCATGCCGGCAGCTGGGGCAGAAGAGATCCCTAGATCAGCGGTGTCCGTGGGAGGCAGGAGTGGGGCTTGCTCTGCTGTCCTTCACCATGATCTCATGTGGTTTTCTCTGATAGCCCTGAGCCGTATTCCTAAAATGTTCCCAGCATGTGGCAGTGTTCCTGCATCTCGTGGCAGAGTGCATTCCCAAAGGAAGTGGGGGCAGGAAGCTCCGCACTCTGCCTGGAGAAGAGGGGGGTGGGTCACGCACAGCCTCGCAAGGCAGGGGGCAGGACAGAGGGTGACCTGGGGCTGAGAAGAGGCAAGGGGGCATCAGCCAGCGGGGCCCAAGTACCCGGAACCGCTGGCCCCACCCTGTCTGAGTACCAGACCTCCCCGACACCCCCACAGCACGGCATCCGAGGGGCTCCAGGGCATACTCTGTGTTCCCCCTATAAATAGGAGTCACAGCGGGGCCCTCGTCTGAGTCATTGGAGGTTACACAGAGGGTGCGCACAGCAGTGCCAGGGGCCGCTCGTGGAATAAAAGCTCGGTTTCCTTGGTGTAACTTCTCAGCTGTTTCTGCTGGACGAGCAGTGCGTCAGGCTCACTGGGTCTGTGCCCCAGGTCCGGCACGGCACCTCGTGTGTGATGGTGCGTCTTTAAGGAAGGAGATTCCTGCCTAACTGCGCAGCAGCGAAGGGAGACTTAGGCTTTCTGTGGGCGTGTACAGACGGACGGACGTATTTCCAGAGGACGTGCCGGCGGGCACAGGTCCTGGCCAGGGTGGTGGGGAGCGTGTGCGAGGCAGAATCCTCACTGTCGCGGAAGCGGTGGCCGTTCCTCTGTGGTCTTCACGGTGGCAGAGGGAAACGTGGGCCCAGGACCAGTTCTTCGGCAGAGATTCGGGTCTGAATGCAGTTTTCCAAACAGACAAAAAGAAAAAGGGAAGTTGAAAAGGCAGAACAGCCAAGTTCACTTCCAGGTTTGCCCTGGCAGGAGCTTGCAGTCAGTATCTGGTGTTTCTCTGCGTTGGCGAGCGCACACGTGTATGTGCGTGTGCGTCTGCGTGTGGGAGATGCCAGGGTCGTAAGCGGGATGTCACCCCCCTCAAAGGTGTCACCGCGTCTCTCCTCGTCCGTGAACAGAAGGGTCATCCTTTCTAATGGCAGCGGGGAGTGGATGCGTTTGCTCGAACTGCCGGGACTCGGGCTGGGGACATTTATTTCCTCCCCTGCTGGAGGCTGGAAATCTGAGGTCAGGGTGCTCCTCAGCGTCTCCCCCTTACGTGCCAGTGTCCGCGGGGCCCCGATGTCCCCTCGCCGGTGCTCCTGTCCCGGGAGACTCGCCTCCCCTGCGCTTCCAGGCTCCCACAGCCACTAACGGCGTCTGTCGCCTTGCAGGACGGCTGTGAACGCCCAGTCGGGGGTGTGCACCCCAGCGGGGGGCCTGGTGACAGGTGAGCACCCCCCATTGTGCCCGTAGCGCGTGCGGGGGCGCGGCCGGAGGTCACGGGTGCCCCGTTTCCCCGCAGGAGTTCTGGTGCTGCTGTCGCTGGACTACCTGACCTCGCTGTTCTGCTACATCCCCAAGTCGGCGCTGGCTGCCGTCATCATCACGGCGGTGGCTCCGCTGTTCGACACCAGGATCTTCCGGACGCTCTGGCGCGTGAAGAGTACGCGCCCTCGCCTGTCTCTCTCTCTCTCTCTCTCTCACACGCGTGCGCGCATCCTGGGTTCTTCCCCCACCGCCTTCCGGGACCCAGGTGGTAGGGCTGGAGCTGGGCATTATCTTTGTTCTGGGAGGAGGTCCTGGGTCAGGGCTTCCTTCAACTCCTCTGGCCGAGAAGCGCCCAGACCAGCTCCATGCAGTGCTGAGCGAGTCTGCAACTCACAGGGTACCTCGCTGCTCGTCCTCCTCCCCTCCCTCCTCCTCTCGACCTCCTTCCCCTCCCCTCTCCCCTCCCCCTTCTCTTCACCCCCTTCCCCTCCTCTTCTCCACCCCCTCCCCTCCCCTCCTCTTCTCCACCCCTCCCCCATCCTCTTCTCCACCCCCATCCTCTTCTCCCCCTCCCTCTTCTCCACCCCTTCCCTCCCTTGCCCCTCCCCTCCCTCCCTCTTCTCCACCCCCCTCCCCTCCCACTCCTCCTCTCCACCCCCTTCCCCTCCCCCTCCTCTCTCCACCCCCTTCCCCTCTCCCCTCCTCTCCCTCCTCCTCTCCACCCCTTCCCCTCCCTCTCCTGCCCTCCCTCCTCCTGTCCACCCCCTTCTCCTCCTCCTGCACCCTTACTGCCCTCTTTTTCTCTTCTCCTCCCCCTCCTCTCCTACACTCCTTCCCCTCCTCTCCTACACTCCTCCCCATCCTCCTTTCTCACTTCTCCTTTCCACCTCTGTTTCCTCCTTCTCCTCTCCACTCCTCCCCTTCTCCTCCTGCACTCCTCCCCATCCTCTTCTCTCCTCCATTTCTCTCCCTGTTCCTCTCCACCTCCCCTCCCCTCCTCCCCCTTTGCCTCCTGCTCTTCTCCCCATCCTCCTACACTCTTCTCCCTCCTCCTCCCTCTTCCTCTCCACTTCCCCACCTCCCCTTTCTCTGCATTGCTATTCTCTTCTCTCCTCCTCCACCTCTTCCCCCTCATCTCTCTTCTCCCCTTTCCCAGCTCCAAGCCCAGCCCAGCTGGGGGGAAGATGGGAGACTTCCAAGGTGACCAGTGTGTCCGACAGAACAGTCCCCAAGTCCCCCCCAAGCTTACCGAGGAGGGACTGCCCCTCAGCTGGACCGCTCTCTCCCAGGGCTGGACTTGCTGCCCCTCTGCCTGACGTTCCTGCTCTGCTTCTGGGAGGTCCAGTATGGCATCCTGGCCGGGACCCTGGTGTCTGTGCTGATTCTCCTGCACTCCGTGGCCAGACCCAAGATGCAGGTACCAGCCTATCCATTCTTCCTGCAAGAGGGATCCGCTGGCCTTGGGGGGCCTGGTGGGGTGAAGGTGCCATACACTTCACGCGCCCGCTCGTCAGCTCTGCGCTCCCCTCACTTCTGTCGGTCTGGGTGGGGGCCTCCTGCCTGGGCAGGCCACCCTAGCCGAGCTGCCAGGTCGGATGTGCCTCCAGGACATACAGGCTTGCCCCTCCTCTGTCCCCGGTCCCCAGGTGTCAGAAGGGCCGGTGCTGGTCCTGCAGCCAGCCAGCGGTCTGCACTTCCCCGCGGTGGAGGCCCTCCGGGAGGCCTTCCTCACCCGGGCCCTGGAAGGTACGTGAGCCAGGATGAGGTGGGCTGCAGTCACCCCCAGCTCCTGCCGCTGACTCCGCACCCCAGTCTGCTGCCTCAGGACCCCAAGGCCCTGTCCTCAGCTCTCGGGAGCTCGCCCACTCCTGGGTCCAGGACGTTGGGTATCTCGGAGTGGTGTCTGTCCACATGCAGCACGGGGGGCTGTTCCCAATCTCCGTTCCTAAATACCCATCCCTTTCTCTGGGGAGTTGGTATTTAGGGGAGAAAAGGGGGCCTGTTCGTCTTCTGAAGGAAACTGCTGCTCTCTGCAGCCGTCGGGGGTCCTGCCGCCCCTGCCCGCCCCCTCCCCGCGGGGGGATGGAGCTCTGATGGCCTCACTGTGCCCCAGGCGTCTAGCCAGGGCTGCATGCCGCTGCCCGGCCCCTGTGACTGGCTGGCCCCCGTCTCCGCAGCCTCCCCCCCGCGCTGCGCGGTTCTGGAGTGTACGCATGTCTGCAGCATCGACTACACCGTGGTGCTGGGGCTCGAGGAGCTCGTGGGGGACTTCCACAGGCACGGCGTCTCCCTCGCCTTCGTCGGCCTGCAGGTGGGTGTCGTCACCTGCCTGTGAGTCGGTGGTGTTATCCTCCCCGGGGCAGGACGCAGGCGCTGAGGCCGGAGAAGCTGCGTGACCTGCCCAAGGTCACATGCGAGGGTGCTGGGCCCCCCGGCTCCAGAGCTCACTCCTGTCACATCCTTTGTTCTGTTTGCAGAGAGCTCGTTCTCGTGTCTCTCAGAGAGTAATCGCTTTAAAAGTCTCCCTTCTCTAGCGTAGCCGAGGGGCAGTTTCTTCTCTCCGTTTGCCTGAGCGGAGGTGAAGCTGTCCCTGCCGGGAGACTGGGGGAGGCCGTGACACGCGGTGGCGCTGGGCCGGGGGGCCTGCCCCAGCCCACCCATGCCTGCACGCTGCAGCAGGGCCACCCTGCCTGGGATGAGAGTTTCTCTGCCCCGCAGGTTCCTGTCCTCCGTGTCCTGCTGTCCGCTGACCTGAAGGGTGTCCAGTACTTCTCCACCCTGGAAGAGGCAGGTGGGTGCAGGCCGAGTCATTGGAGAGACCCACGGCAGCGCAGCGCGCCCACAGCCCGCGGGATGGGGGGCAGGACCGCAGGACCGAAACTCAGCACCAGGAGGGTCAGGGGGTCGGGCGCCCCAGTGCAAGCGTGGGGAGCATGGGTGCGGCACGGTGGGTGACGCGGAGGGCACGGTCAGGGCTCTCCTGTGCTGGGAGTCGCTTTAGGGGTGTCTTACTCACATGCGGCGTTCGCTCCGTGGATGCACAGGCCTCACGCATGCGGCTCGGGGTCTCACAGGCAGGGATAGCCAGAGGCGATGTGGAACGTTTCCATCATTCCAGAAAGTGCCTCAGTCCGTCCTCATGACGCCCACTAGGGGTAGCCACTGTTCGGGTTCCTTCTCTCGTGGGTCAGCTCGGCCTGTTCTAGAATGTCACATAACTGGGATCAGAAGGACTCTGTGTCTGAGTTCTTGGGCTTAACGGGGTGTCGTCGCTGGGAGCAGCTCACATGCCGACCCACAGGAGACGGGGAAGAGACGTGGCCCGGCCATGCTGGGGGACCATGCGGCACTAAGGAAGGGTCATCGGGCGTGGACAGTGATGAGGCGCTGACAGGGACTTAGGCGGAACCTTGCCCGGGCTGGGGGTGCCAGCCGGGGGGACCCCAACTCCCTGTGCACCAGGACTCTGAAGCGCCGGCTCTTCACTCCATCCTGGGACGTGACCCTTCCTCACTTTGCCTCTTTTGTGCTTGCATGCCTCGTATTTTCTGCAGAGAAATACTTGAGGCAAGAACCAGGGACCCAGCCCTACAACGTCAGCGAAGACTCCGTTCCGGAGCACAAGATCGCCCTGCTGAAGGCCTGATGGGGGTGCTGATGGGTGTCTGATGCCTGGGGAGTCTTGTGGAAGGTTCTGGACGCTGTGATGCCGGATGCTGCCCTATAAACGCCTTGGCCCGAGGGCTCTGAGCCGGTGACCCCCGAAGGAGGAAGGAAGCCATGCATGCATCGAGATCCACAGGTGGGACTCTTTGGCTTTCTTTGGGGTGACTGAAAAATCACCTCCCTTCTGTTCCCTGTGCGGGAATCTTTTTCTGAAGAACAGTTTGGAGAGAGCCTTCTAGAATGACAGACCTGTGAGAAGAAAGGGGCAGGATTTCCAGCTGGTCCAGGGGAAGGGCCCTCACAGCCCAGCACCTTCCTGGCTACAGGGGGCGGTGGGGTTGGGCAGCTCCGAGGCGGGTTCCAGTCTGGGTGGCGGCGTCTGTCCTGCTGTGGGGAAGGAAACCGACATGGGCGAAATGACTTAACGTGTCTGTGAAAGATAATTTTGTCGTCAGTGTTTTTTAAATTAAAAAAGCAAGAGCTTTGGTGTTTTTGTAAAAACCGTAAATGCTTATTGTAAAACGTACAGGAAATCCTCTCTTCCATCCACTTGAGTGGCAGTCCAGGCCCCCTCCCCCCCACCCCGTCTGTACGTCAGCATGTGGGGGTGTGTCCCCAGCTGCGTGTGGATGGGGTCATTGCATACATGGTGCTCTGTGACCCACACTTTCATGCAGTCCTTGCTGTGAATGACTCATTGTGATAATAAATAGAGAATATGTGATCTGCAGCGTCTGCAACGTGCTTTATTCTGTGTCTGTGTCACAATGGACTCCCCGAGACTCTGCGTGTGGACTTCTCTCATCCAAGGTGTGTATACCTTTCCACCCCTGCCGTCACAGCCAAGGAAGGCTGGGCTCCTGGGCCTTCTTCGAGAAAGAACTCAGTGTGCGGGTAGGCCCCGTGGAGCTCCCCAGCATTCCCACCAAGACACGTTCTGGCCCCCCGACCAACCCCCACCCCTGAATCTGCATTTCCTTACCTCGAGCAGCTCTCTCTCTGCACAAACGAGCATGTCCTGGAGCCCTGTGCGCTGGGCCACCCCTGCCCAGGGCCCCGTGGAGCATCCGTCCAGTGGTTCCTGGCCCCCAAGCCAAGCATGCCCCTTCTTGAGCCAAAAGACCTCCCATTCGCAGAGCAGGTGGATCCGTTGGCTCTGTCAGGACCTGGGCTCTAGGATCTTCACCCAGAGCCGCACCTGTGACTCGGAATCCACTCCAACAAAGCCCGAGCGTGTCTGCCAGGAAGCAGATCCAAGGATGGTTAGCACAACCTCATTAGCAATTTTAGAAAATGAAAGCAAGCTGAACGTCTCCATTTAGGAACGTCTTGGCCACGAAACACACGCGCTGGGATGCTGTGCGGCAGTTAAAGGAACAGGGTGGAGCTGTGCATCTCTACACACTGGTGTCTGAAGAAAAAGAGCAAGTTGCAGAGCGATGCTCATCTTAAGAGACATTTGTGTGAACACACCCACGGAACGATGCGGCGATGTCTGTACGAGTTTAAAAAAAGTCCTGGAAAGATACACATCAAACTGATAAAAGGAATTCTGTTGACGTTACACTGCTTGGGTTGATTTTAGCCATCTCTGAGTGGTTTAATTTCTCAACGATACATTAGTATATAGTTAAAAATTAAGTTATGGCTTGAAATTAATTTATATTACTATAACACATAATTAAATTAGACACTTGTTAAGTTTAAAATTAATTTATAGTTTATTAAATTATGAACTTACTAAATTTATAATTAAGTTATAATTAAAGCTTCATTTCAGAAAAAGCGAAAAGACTGGAATGGACCACGGTGTGGAAGCACTTTGGAATTCGGTGCCTGAGGATGTGGGGCTGGGTGGTCAGCAGACGCGCCCCTCCGGGCCTCGGCCTGTGCCCCAGGGCCCGCGGGGCAGAGCTGACGGTACTGCTGTCTGGTGTAGTCGCCTACAGCTGGCTGGCGGGGTGACGGTGTCCTCCGCACCAACACAGTCCCAGCCCCTCTGGGGAGCGTGGCCACGTCCCTGAGATGTGCGTTCGCACTGTGTCCCCGAGATTCATACGCTGACTTGAAGTACCTGACTTCTGGTACCTGAGAATATGCTTTTATTTGGAGACAGGGTCATGGCAGGTGTAATTAGTTAAGTGAGTCCATCCTGGAGTAGGATGGCTCATCCGTACGGCTCAGCCCTTAAAAAAAGAGAAGGTTTGGCCCAGACACATACCCAGGGAGAAGGCCACCTGAACAAGAAGGCAGAAGTCAGGGTGATGCTTCTGTAAGCCAAGAACAGCGAAGACTTGTCAGCAAGCCCCCAGCAGCTGGGAGAGAGGCCTGGAAGAGATTTTGCCTCAGCCTCAGAGGGACCCCGCCGTGCTGACCCCAGGATCCTGGCCTTCGGCCCTGCCTGGTCTGTGCTGCTTTGAGGCAGCGGCCCGGGCAGACTAATAAGGCGTTCGGTGCTGGCTCCTGCAAGCTCATTCCCCCTTCCCGGCCGGCTGGCTGGCCCGCGGGACCTCACCGGTGCCCTGGGAAGCCACGTGCCGAGAATGGCCGAGTTCGGGTCAGCGGGCGTGGAGGAGGGCACCTGCTGAGCAGCGGCCCATGGGCACTGCCACCTGTCACAGCAGCTCCCAGAGCCCCGACTATACAGTGAACAGTGACCCAGATCCGTGCCCTCGATGAAGTACAACACACTCCGTCACTGAGCCACGCGGGCCAGCTTCCCATTTCCAGTCGCCTTGTGGAATAAGGAGCAGGTGAAATTAATACTACATTGAACCCATTCCACCCACGATACTGCTTTCAGCCCGTGATCTATAGACAGCTCAGCAGTGAGACAGTTGACCTTGTTTTGCTCATACGACATCTCGAAACCCACTGTGGATTGTGCGCCCGCGGTGCGCCGCAGTTCAGACCAGCCACGCTTCGAGGGCTGCGTGCCACGTGTCCCGTGGCTGCCGTGTCGGATACCCCAGGTGTGAGATGTCCGCTTCCAAGGTGGTTCGGAGGCCCCGGCTGCTCCGAGCTCCTGGCTCATGCCCGTGCTTGCCTGTACTCCGTCCCTGGGGGTGGTTGTGAGAATCTCTGACGTGGTGACGGAGGAGGAGGCAGCATGCTGTGGCTGGCTCACAGAGAGCGGTGTTGAGTCCAGGCTGTTCTGGTTTCCCACTGCGTGACATTGGGTAAACTGTCTAATCTCCCTGACCCTTAATTTCCTCCGAAGAGCCGTTGCAGGGGTGGAGTTGAGGGGCAGGGTGAGGAGGGACCGGCATGTATCAGGCACCGAGGAACCGCCGCTACTCGGAACCGGACCTCCTGGCATTGTCCTAACTCTGGCAGCTTGATGCAGGACTCTGAGGATGGAGACATCGGGGAGGGTGGAGGTGAGGGTAGGAGGGAAGCTTTAGGCCTCAGGCTGCACGCCGTGCTCCTCCCCTGCCCCAGGGAAATGAACCAGGATAGGGTGAGGGGATCCCCTGTGACTGCTCCATCTTGCCTGCAGTCTGAAGCCACCGTGGAGGGGCCCCCCAGTGTCACCAGCTTTTACGGTGGCAGCTGTAGGTTCGGTGGCCACGTCCCTGCGGGCCCCACACCCAGGGAAGCCTCCTCATGGGTCAGGGTGCTCTGCATGCTAATGTGGGGAGCAGTGGGTGTCCCCGTGAATGCCAGAGTGGGGCGGGGACCTCCATCTTCAATAGAAAGTCGGCCTGGAGCCGGGCTACCCTGCCTGGGCTGACTGGGAGCCAACAGCAAACCTTTTTCTGGCTGTAATGTGATTACTTGTAGAAACTCTGTTCTGCGTAGATCTACCCACCCTCTGTAAATTCAGCTACTGATGCTGGCTGAGAACCTACCCCCCCCCCCCACTTTAGAATAGTTTTAATCCTGTGGAAGGACCCAAGTTTATCCAAACCATAGGAACCCTTTGCAGTGCCAGATGGCTGCATCTTTTAGAGCAGATTTGGCAAAGCCCACGGAGCTGGTGCCTACAGTGGGTTGAATTCTGTCCCCTGAAAAGAGTTGAGTTCTTGACCCTAGAAGCCTGGGACTCTGATCTTATTTGGAAACAGGGTCTTTGAGGATGTCATTAGTTGCGTTCAGAGGAGGTCACACTGGATCGGGGTGGCCCTAAATGGGACGGCTGGGGGGACGAAGACACACAGGTAAGGAGAATGCCATGAAGTCACTTGGTTACTCTTCTCAGTTCTGTGCCCCCCACCCCTGAAACACAAGGAGCCATAGCACCTCCATAAGGCTGCCCTTCTGTCTGTGCGGGCCTGCAGCCCACGTGGGGGCTCAGTCGGTGCCAATGGAGGAGGTGTTTGGACTCCACCGTTTCAGCCTGAGGGACATCTGACTCTGGGACGGTTCTTGCTCCATGGGGTCAAGAGTACGATCCCTGGTCGAGAATATCCAGGCCCAGAACACTGACTCCCACCAGCCAAACTCAGCCCCGACACATCTGCACCCCAAAGCCTATTTCTTGACCGCCAAGCCTCTCTCAAATAGATCTGTGGTCTTCCCGTGGGAAAAACCAGAGCTGAAGAGAAGACCTGAAGGCAGGCTGGTGAGTAGACGCAACCAAAGCCGGGAGCTGCAGGCCCCTCTTGTTTTGCATGGTTTTTATTTATACAGCTCTGGGATAAATGAGAGCTTTTTGTTCAGCCCTGCCTGGTCATACAAGCCCGGCTTTGAGATGGCTGGATGCGCCAGTCTGGACCAGGGCCCCAGGGCTGTGCTGTGGGCAGTGGCAGGACCACATGCCCTCGGGCCTGGATTCTCCTCATAAGGCCCCTTTGTTCTCGGCCTCCCCCGACCCCTTCCCGCACTTACGCTCTCTGCAAAGTGTGCCTCTCTGCTCGCTGCACCCGGGCAGGGGAGCATCCTTCCTGCAGGCGACCCTGGGAGTCTCAGTATACGCAGGCGAGGAGCAAGGCCGGCCAACAAGATAAGTTTTGGGTCCCACTGAATCCATTCTGTAAACACTGGCAGCTGCAAGATCAAGATCAAGGACATTTCAAACGCTCCAACATCTGTGGAAACTGGAAGCTGTTCTATGCCGCGTTTGGCCAGGCAGACCACATGGCTCAGTCAAGGGGCTCCTCCCTGCTGATGTCATGCAGGTGACCCTGGGAAGAATGTGCGGGCAGGCTTTCCGCCAGCAGATCTTCCCCAAGAAGGGGTCGGGTTCTTTGTGAACGCTGGGCCAAGAGGAGAGATTCAAGCCTGCAGGCTCCACGCCACCATATGTGTAGGGTAGGGACAAGGCTGAGGTTGGCACGACCTGCAACCTTTCCTCACCCCCTCCTTCCTTCATCCCATGACCCCATCCTCCTCCTGCACCGACATCAATCTTTATCTTGGAAAGGAAGCCCCGCAAAGGAAACCACATCTACTGTTGTCCTCATATTTTGTTATTTTTCTCTTATTTCCTAATGGTATTAGATCATATATGTTATTTTTTGTCATACTCTCTCTATATTATTTTTTTCAAATATTGCGTGCCTATTCCAACGTATACGTTTATTGCATGTATCAAGACCAGAGAATGTAAGGGGTCTTCTCTGAGTACTCACAACGGGCTCATAACACCTGGCTTTTCCATCTTTTCTTTGTTTTGTCTTTATTTGGTGTACTGCGTGAGTTTTGATTTGGTTCTTTGGGTCGCTAACCGTCTTTATGGTGCAGGTGTCCTGACGACAGGACCACTTACGCTAGGTTCTCGGC